AAATAGCGTTAAATAATAGGGATTTAATAATAACTAGCTGGAGCTTAAATTAGCTGGTAAATGGATTTAATATGTAAGTAATCTTGGGCCCCTTAAATATAACGGCATTTATAGTTAATTTTAAGGGCTAAGCGGCTATATTTTTAAATTATCTTTAAATTAAAATAAATATTGCTTAAGTTACTATTATTTTTACTTAGTAATAATAAAAGTAAATAGTTAATAAATATCATTAAATAGCGAAAAGGTTTTGTATTAATAACTAAGTATAGCTATCCTTAAGGCATTTTTAAACTATTTAATTAATAAAGAAGTTTAATTAGTTATATTAAAAATATATTATAATAAATATTTCTATGCCTTAAATAATTATTTTAAATATATTAAGCTAAGTTTATTCTACCTTTAATATTAATTAAGTTAAGCATGTTATAAAGGATTTACTATTTATTTAAATATTTATAAATACTTAATTAAGTGCTATATTAATTTTAAATAAAATAAATAAAGGCTAAAATAAAAAGTACCTTATAAAGGAAATTTTAATAATTAAAAATGCATTAAAGTACTTATAAAATAATTTCCTTAAGAAATAGGTTTATATTAAATGAAAAGGCTAAAATATATTAATATAAGAACTCCTTAAGAACTTATAAAGATTAATAGCTTTTAATTTATTTAAGATATAATAAGGGGATGTTATTACTTATAAAAAACTACTTATTTAAGGTAATTATAAGGCAAGCTTACATTAAGCTTAATAAGCTTATTTAAAGGTATAATATAAGGCGATAAGGGTTATAAGTAGGAATAAAATAAAAATAAGTAAGATCTTATTATATTATTATAAGCTATTTAAATAAAGCTGCAAGGCAAACCTTAAATATTTATTATGCTTAAGTGGGGCGTAATAATAGTAGGATTTAAACTTATAACCTTATTTATATATAAACGCTCTTAATTAATTAAGACTTATTATATACCTATTTAATAAATAAATTAAATTCCCTTTTTATAAAAATTAAGTAGCATATTAAGTTAAAAAAAAATTAAGTTATATAGCTAATTTCCTATAAGGCAGAATTATATTAAGCATATTACCCTTTTAAAATTCCTTTATTATTATTTATTTAAGTAAGTATATTAAAAATATTTAATTATAAAACTAAAAATTATAAAAATTAATAATAAGGCCATAATAACTTAATAATAATAAGAATTAAATTTATAAACTTTTTATTTAAAGATAAAGCTCTTAATTACTTAAATTTATTATAGCTATAATAATAAGCTAAGTTAATTAATACTTATAATAAAGGGTATTATAGTTAAAAAAAGGCAAGTTCTTAAAATCCTTTTCTTTATTTTTTTGCTCTTTTTCCTTAAACTTATTATGGATATAATAATAACTTAAATTATAACTATGCTATTTAATGCTAAAAACCTAGCTAGCAAGGGCATTTAAGGTATTAATTATTATATTAAATTCCTTATAATGGCGATCCTTAAATATATTAAAATATACTTAAGGCTAAGTTAATATAAATATAAGAAAAGAATAAAGGGGGTATTTATATTAAGGGCATATATATTATTAGCATAATAATTAATCTTAGCTCTTTAATTATTATTAAACGTTATAAAAATATTTATTATTTCTTAAGTAAAATAAATTAATTAATAATTATAGCATTAATATTATTAATATAATGCATAATTATATTAATATTAATAAGGAATAAAAATATATTAGCAAGCTATAATAAAATTAAGGGCATACCTTTAATAAAGTTAATAAGGGTATTAATTAAGGCTATATTATAAAAATAAGCATAGCTGCTTAAGTAAATAATAAAAATAATAAAGGGTAGCTTTGCTAATATAATGCTTATAGCTTTATAAAAATTAATAATAATATAATTAAAAGCTAAGGTAAATATAGCTATATTATTATAAGTAAGGATGGTAAATTTAACTTACTTAAAGATAAGAATATAGCTATTATTAATAATAATTACTTTCTTTAAATAACATTATATATTTTACAATAATAATAAATTAATAAATATATATATATATTAAATGCATTTATATTTATAATAGCGGTAATTAATGCAAAATGCATTATAATCTTTAAGAATATAAATAAGCAGCTTATTAATTTTATAAAAAGTTGCAATATATAATTTATAAGGAAAAGGTAGCTACTTAGCAAGCTGTTAATTCTTATTATTAAAATTGCTAAGCACTTAATATAATCTTATAATATAATATCCTTATATTTAGTTAATAATTATAATAAACTTATATTAAGGGAAAAATAAAATAACCTTAAAAGTTATATTGCTAAGATAATAAGGTAACTTATTATTGCTATTATTATTAATAGTAGCTATATTAAAGCTGCTATATTAATCATTAAAATTCATAATAAAAGCCATTTTTTATTCTTCTTTTTATATAATAAAAGGGGAGTAAGTATTAAGGAGGATATTAAGGGATTAAAAGGGTATTAATGGGCTAAGGAAAGGGTGCTTAATAAATAGAATATAAATAAAGGAAAGTATATTAAAGAACTATTAAGAGATTAAAAGAGTATTAATGCATTAAGGCAATAGCTTTTTAATAAAAAAGGGCGGCCATAAAGAGAGTATAATAGGCGTAAGGAAAAATAGCTAAAGGATTAAATTATAAAGAGGTTAAGGGATTATATAAATATTAATTATATTAAAAAAGGCTTTTTAACTAAGGGTAAGATAAAGCTAAGGGGTAATTAATATAAATAAAAAAATAATTATAAAGGTAATAAAAAGGTTATATAAAGGTAATAAAATAATATATATAATAAGTACGTTATAGTAATAATATAGTATTAAGAAGAAGGAATTATAAAAGGGAGTATAATTATAAGAAAGTTATTTTAAGTAGCAATAATAAATATAATATAGGGGTAATAGCCGCGGTAAGTAACGTTAATGCATTAATAAAAGCATGCCATAACTTAAGGCTAATAATATATATAGCTTATATGTAATTATAATGTATTAATAAAGGACTATATATATAATAGCAACGTTACCATACTATAATAGCCCATAATATGCATAATATATACTTTGCATTACACTATGCTAAGCATAATATATAAATATGGCTAATGCAAGAATAAAATGGATAATTATTGCTCTTAAGGTAGATAAATATAACTTTAAAATAAATATATAATAGGGTAAATATATAACTAGTATAAAACTATAAAAGCCTTGGGTTTAATCCCTATTGCGTGTAATATAAAAGTAAAAAGGGGGTTATATAATGGGCTTGGGCTATTGCCTAAGTTATAATGCATATTTATGCCAGGCTTATATTATACTTAACCCTTTTATATAACGAAGTATATACTTAAAAAATAAATCTAGAGTTAGGCCCTTTTAAGGCCTAACTTACTTTTTAAATATTATAATTTATAACTCCTTTTAAGTACCTTTTAGTAAACGCTCAAGGCTAACCCATAATACTTAAGCTAAATTATTAATAAAAACAAGCCACCTAAATAATAAGGGATAGGTTTTACTAAACCCTCTTAAGGATAACTTAAGAAGGAGCTTTAACGCAATAAAGAGGGAAAATAGAAATAAAAGGGAACCAAAGAAAGGGAAAAGATAAATATTTTAAAAATTCTTAAAAATAAGAAAAGCTTAATTAAAGCACTAAATATATAAAAAAAGAAAAGAGTTGATTTCTTAAAAGAATATTTAAAATAAGCGTAAAAGCTAGCTTTTTATAACCAGCCGGAATTTAGCGCGGTACCATTTCTTACGTAATTCCTTGCACCTGCCAATAATATATACTTACTTATTAATTTAGTTGCATATCTTAAGGGCCTTTATAATAATTAACGTAATAATATTAATTTAATATATCTTTATAAGAAAGCATTATATCTTATTAAAGTATATATTTAGCTTATTAAGAAGAAGATCTTTAAGCTTTTATATAGCAATGATTGGGCGTTAGCAATGCTTAAAGGGCTTATTACGCTAAAGAATATTATATACCTTTAAAGCTTATTGCTTTAATTTAATGACATTTAATGGCGTTAATAAGGGCACATTAAGGGCTATGATATTCATCATTATAACCCTCTTTTAATATTGCTAAATCATTATTTTACTACAGCAAAATTTAGCTTACAGCTACTTATTTAGCGGCGATAAATTTAAATATAAATAAAATTGCAATATTTGCAATTATATAAAGATTAGCCGCATTATTATAGCCTTTCTTTTGCTAAATTAAGTATGCAGCGATAATAACAAGGTTATCCTTAGTAATCTTAATATATATTCCGCTTTCATAGCCAAATTTTAATGCGGGGGGGGGATAGCTAACCAAGATGATAGGGGGGGGTAACGTTTTATTTTCCACACACAGCGGCTCCGAGGACATGACTCACGACTGGGATGGCATGGATCTTCTCCGCGTTTGCCAATTCTGGCCTGCATCCTTTACTTTACCCCTGACGCACTGTGTATTACCTGACGAGGTTCTGAGTCTGATACTTGCAAATCTATAGGCAGCACGACAACATGGCTTGTTTGCTGCAAGTTTCCACAACGTTCTGGATGTGTCTTCAATTGAGGGCATCACTGAACATGATCAGCGGTTGTCTTGGGGCCGCGTTGAGTCAACCAAGCGGTGAGGTCACTCCCCCAAAGCCCACATAACTGTGCAACTAAGACTTGCTACCTACCAGGATTATCATGTGCCTTTCATTAGCCGATTGTTGATTCTCGGAGTACTTCTCAACAGGGCCTATTGTATGCACTGAGTACATCCAACTCTTTCTTCCCTGCGACATCAAACTCTTCCAGGCACCGACAGCCAACGAGTGGGCTCAGCTCAAAAACAACGGTTGCAGCCCATCTTGCCCACGGTTGGTGATATCGTCCACAGATTATCAGCTGCCCATCCTTCACTATCTGGGAGATCAGTACTCGATGAAGGTTATCCTCTGCACAATTCTCCTTCGCATCTACGACAGCTACCATGTCCTGTTCTGCGGTGTCGAGGTTGAGACTCTAGCGAGATGTGAATACGTTCCGTGCCGGGTCTTCGCAAAGACAAAGAAGGCCGAGATGAATGTGGGACTAGTGCTGCAAGTCATGCAGCTCTATAACAACGTCATGGAAGATATTGCCTCTGACTGCTTGGTCATGTGGCACCATATGGGCATCGTGCTGACGACCGACCGCTATCTCCTCGAAGAAGCGGCGGGCAAAGAAGGTACTCAAGCGGCAATGAAATCAATTGCCAGGGTCAAGGTCTGGGCGCGCACTCCGGCTTCGAGGAGGGCTTGTCTGCACGCATCACAAGCCTTCAAAAGGCCACTTCGCTTCGACGACCACTGGACGGTAGATCTTCTGAGTCTCCCAATAATCTGTTCAATGCAGCTCTGGTTCTAGGACTCTATCTCCTCGTCGCCCCCGCAGAGATCAGCGGACAAACCAGGCGTGACCAAGAGTTCGAACTACTGAGCGACATTGACTGGAGAGTGATAGGTACCGAGGGCCTCGTTGAAACAGAACCCCAACTCACCACCAGGACTGATAACGCAGCTGTGAATTTCATCAGGTTAGGTGGGCCCATCGCCATAGACGGCGAATCCTGTCACGGGGGTGTTCGGTCTTCTCAGAGCGTTCTTCTCGACTTTGCCAGCCTCTTAGATGGTATGAAGAAGTGGAGGATTGGGGATTATTTGCGGCTACTGTATACGATATCCGAGAATATCGGGTACCTTGACGCGGCGGTTAACAATACCTCGCAGACCGTGTTGTAGATCTACTTTTTTTCAAAATGCGGCGAGATATCGTCTAGATTGGTTTGAACGACTGCGAAGGCAAAGAGCGGCTCGCCATAACCATCTAAAAAAAGACAAGAGTCGCTCCATTGTAAGTTGAAATTACTAACATGTGTAGCCATGAGTACACCTTCTGATGATATCCGGTCGTTATACACGTCCCTCCTTGATATATTGATAACAACACTGATTTTAAACTGTCTTTCCGATCCCTTTTCCTGCCCTTTAAAAATAGAGCACAACAGATAAATACTTCTCTTGCCCTATATTGCTTAATAACCTGGTTACTGTGAGCTATTCTATCTCACTGTGCCAGATTGATAGATTGGGTATAATAGTAGCGGCGGGAATGGGGCCGGTTCCAAGTGCCATATTCTTCAGTGGATTAGCTATTGCATAACACCCTTAAAACACTCTCACAACTCTTTAGGCTATAATCCATGCCGGTGTACAACGAAGACTCGTTTCAATATGTTGTATCACGCCATAATTTCAATCCATACTGGCTTTGGCTGCTCGCGACATGCTGTGGTGAGATTCTGGCCCGAGTTCGCCACGCATGTTACTCACAGCAGTTTGAACGCCGAGACGCTTGAAATGAATCCTGCCGTTTATAGCGATGGAGAACGGGCCTGGTCTACCATTGGGACTAGCTTGAACTGCAGGTATGGAATATTCGGCATCTCTAGCCAATACTAGATATAGCCACAGACAAGGAGTCTTTTCCTGCATACAGAAGTAAGCACTACTAGCGAACCTTGCAGTGGGGCGACACCCACAATTGAAGAAACCAAACGGCAAGAGCCACATTCGCTTGTGGAAATCCTGGCAGGTATAAAGAAACACGCCTCCCTTAAGATGTCTGGTCAAAAACATGTTCTTGACGCTGTCTAGACTCAGCATTTCGTTGACCAAGACTGGTCAATGACCTGCTCAAGATGTCGTGCCCCAAGCTGCTCTCCCTGAGATGCCTTCTTCTGGGTCTGGTCAGACTTTCCAGCGCTGTCATTCTTCGAGATCCAGCCACCATAAATCGCACGTACGACTATGTTGTAGCAGGAGGGGGCCTCACTGGGCTGGTAGTTGCCAACCGTCTGACCGAAGACCCAAACAGTGAGCGTTACTGAACAGTCCTCACATTTCAATGAAAACTGACAGTCACATCTCAATTTCCAGCCTCGGTGCTCGTTATCGAGTACGGGGATTTCGATGATAGCTGGGATGTTGCAATCCCGTACAATGCTAGGTTCCTTCACACAGAAGACCTTTTCAACATCCCTTCAGTTCCTCAAAAAGGCCTTGGCAATAGATCATTCGGTGTGTACCTGGGCAAGACGGTTGGCGGCGGATCGACTGTCAACGGAAGTAAGAAACCAATAGCCGCCCCCAACTCCATTTGTGGCGCACAGCGCTTGGCATTAAATGATGCTAACTCCAAATCTCGACGTAGTGGCTCTATCAAGAGGCGCCCGTACAGATTATGATGCCTGGGAAGCTCTCGGGAACCCAGGTTGGGGCTGGGAGAGTATGTTCGAGTACTTCAAGAAATCATCAACTCTGACATACCCCAGTTCCGAGCTTGTCGACAAGTATGACTACGTTGTCAGTCCAGACGGGTATGGTCAGGGTCCTATGCAAGCAGGTTTCCCCCGCTGGCAGTTCCCTGCTCTATGTATGTGGCATCGATATCCGCTGTGGCGGCCCGTAATGACCGACCTTCTGACACCCATGATGATTGACCAGATAACTTCATCGACGCGTGGACAAAGGACATCGGAGTCCAATATCGCACGGACGGGGATACGAATGGAGAGAATCTTGGTATGGCGTGGAAGCCGATCGACATCGATCCTGTGAATGTTACCAGGTCCTCGGCACGAAAAGCTTGTAAGTTGCTTCGAATTTCCTCTTAGCCATCTACGTATCTGTTACACTGGGCTCACAATTCGAGTGCATGTGGAATGATGTGGTCAATGGAACACTTTCTTGTACTCCACGGAAGTCTATCTAGCCGTTTTCCGGGTTCCCTAAACAACTTGGCTCTGCAAGTCTAGCATCTACTAACACATGGTATCATAGACTACGATCCAGCCAGTGGCAGACCCAATCTGGACATCCTTGTTGGCAGCTATGTTGCAACACTTGCCACCGGGCCTGGAGCATCTGTTACGGGTGTGAACGTGGCTCGTGTGAACAGTACTTCGAACGAACACAAATACCTGCGCTCTGGTAAGGAAGTGATACTAGCCGCAGGAGCGGTACATACGGCACAAATCTTACAACTCAGCGGAATTGGTCCCGCAGCTTTGCTGGAACCTCTCGGCATTGACATTATTGCGGACCTACCCGGCGTAGGTGCAAACTTCCAAGATCATCCGACAAATATCGGATTCGCTTTCCAATGTACGTCCGTCAAGACCTCTCGCGTGATATTTGATGGTATCTATTGCCACAGACTAAAGTTTTACCTTCTCCCCTCAGTTGTGAATGAACCAAGCCTCAACCCTAATCTCTACAACGACGCCTCATTTTTCAACGCGTCTTGGAACGAGTACATGGCCAACAGGACTGGGCCTCTGACGTGGGCTTTTGGCAACAACAGGGTCGTCTTGTCTCTGCAGAATCTCACCAGCGATTACAAAGAATTGATCGACGAATTTCTTCATGATAACGACACCAGTCGTTATCTTGACGATTGGTACAAGCAGGACTCGACCCTCGAGGCAGGCTACAAGCTTCAACACCAAGTCCTGTCTCGTATTATATCTGAGCAGCACGGCAGTGTGACGGAGAACACGTTCGGCGGTGCCGCTGGCGCTGCCTTCGTTGTTATTAAGCCATTCTCCCGCGGGACAGTCCTCATCAATTCTACCGACACAGATCCTATCCTCGGGGCGCCGCTGGTAGATTATCAGGCCCTAACACACCCATTGGATACCAAGATTGCCATCGAGGGGCTCAGAATGGCTCGTCGGCTCTTGTCGGCGCCTTCTTTGGCTCCTCTTCAGCCAATAGAGACCGTGCCTGGAGCCAATGTCACAACTGACGAGCAGATAGAGGCAGCAATTAGGACCTCACTCTACCGTCCTGCCAATGCCCACCCTTGCTGCACAGCGGCAATGATGCCTTTGGAGCTGGGAGGAGTCGTTGACCCACAGTTACGGGTCTATGGTGTCCGAGGACTGAGGATTGTAGATGCTAGCATCTTGCCTCTCATTCCTTCTGCTCATACACAGGAAACCATGTATGCTGTTGCGGAAAAGGCAGCTGACATTATCAAGGGTGTCAGTGGCAATTAGATACATGCAGTAGAATCAAATGAGTCTTTCATCAAACTGAAAAGCCGACATGGTTGATGCTACAAGCTATACTCGACTGTCATCAACAGAAGGCTATAGCTACAAGCCAACTTTGGCAGCCAAGTAATGAACAGCAACTTTTGTGGTCAATGCCAAAATGCCAGTTGCTGGAATCTTGTCGTCATCTGATCGTCTCCGCCAGCCAAGCTCAAACGGGAGTCTCTCATTTTCTGCGTCATTTGAAGTCAATCTCAGTACAATTCAGTGCGGCCTCGCTCGATTTCAACTTACCAAAGAAGTATTCAACCCAAGATCTGTTGGCATTACCATCGTCGTAGTCTCCGAAAAGACCAAGATACATAGCTGTTTGTCCAAGAGAGTTTGTATGTCCATCGAGAGGCAGGTCAAATTCGGGGTTGATGCTCTCAGCAGTTTTCTGCCTGGCAACAAGAGCCTTGGCTGCGTCACTCAGAGAGATTGTCTCTGATTGCCAGTAAGATTTGGTCTCATCAAATATTGTCTGGTTAAATGACCAATTGTCCCCAAAGAAAATATCTGCTCGGCTAAGGGAAGCGTCATGCTCGATTAGATTGTGTTTGTTGAGGTCGCTGAGGTGGAATGTCTCTTTGTTGCCCGTCGAGGATGCTTCAAGGGCCTTGTTGCCTTGTAACCTAAAGAACAACTTCGCGTCTTCGCGGAGGTTGAGGCCCGCGTGCATTCCCTCAATGAGCGCATCTACGGAGATGTTCTTCCCGTCACGGGGAAGGTAGCCGTGGTTCGCAAGGCTGTTCAATAGGGGACATGGGGCCCGGCCTGGTAATTCTGATCAGTTGTCGCGAACCTTCACAAAGTCAAATCCTGCAACGTACTATCATTAGGGCCGGGCGCTTGCCATGGTTGTTCGGTATTCTGGCACAGCGTTGTCGTTATTGAAAACGCGAGGGACAAGAAAGCGGCGCGCATGGTGGCTAAATCAGATGGAGAGACCAATAAATAAAAAGAGTGACTGTTAGTTGGACGAGTAGCGACCGACTTTGGTTCGACGAACGGACGGCGAAATTCCATGCGCGGAATCCAGCATCTATATAGCTCTCTCCGACCGGATATAAATCAGATTCGAGAATTCAGGCCGTACAACCTTCTTACACAGCCACTCCCAAAGGTTCGGGCCCGGGTCAAAGGCCGAATACTACATGGTACAAGTGGAGTGAGACCTCGTATTCTCGGAGTACTGTTACTTCAATTGAAATCAAGAGAGATTGCTACAGGGGAGACAGACAACTCACCAATGAACCGCGCGGATTAACAACACCCTGACTCGGTGCAGGGGAGAGCCAAGCTACTCTAAATCGACGTACTTCTAATAATACATCCAGGAGTCAGCGCATGTCCCCCCCGATGCCATCAATGCAATACTTCTACAAGTTGCTAACAATAATCGCGTCTTTGGCAAAGCTGAGTCTTCGGAAACGCGGTACCAGTGCTTGGCTCTCTGTTCTCTTCCGCAAGTTTTCCTCCTAGAGGGACCTCCATCACAGCTACATGAGAGTCGTACGACCGGAGCTAGAGGGTAAGGAAAAAGAGGGAAGGGATGAATCGAATGTCTGGAAGAGGTACTTTCGGACAGAGGTCAAACTTGCACTATGGGAGAGTCGGTGCGCGTTCAAGCATAGCGTAAGTTGTCCAAATCAGAAAAGCGGGCAGAAAAGATGATAGGAGAAGTCAGAACAAAGGGGCCAAAGACTCTTTCTTCGACCTAAAATTACGATAGTCTTTTGGTCTACTCTAAAAAGTACTCCAGAAGCTCCAAAAAGTACTTGTGATTCCAAGAAGTCCAAGTCCTTCTTGCCAATGTACTCGCACTGCGCTTGGCTGGCAGTCATGTTCCATTCTCAATTTCGAAATCACAACAGAGACAGTATTTGTTCCCCAAACGGTCACTACAGCTGATGTCTCTCATTCCATACTGCTGAAGTTCTGGAGTCAGATGAGTATGTGTGGGTTTGGAAATTTTTATTCCGCTACAGGACCAAGAATTCCATGTGTGCCTGTCTGTCCAGCTCTGCTCCAGGTGTTCGACCTGGCCTGGCTCGGCCCCAGTGCTGGAGACGGGAGAGGAGTCAGCCAAGGTCCGCCCACCCAGCTTCCAGGTGCCGCCCACCTAGCTCTTTCAGTGCGCCCACCCAGTACAAAAAAATGGCTATAGGCGCTATTAAAATATAGGTGTACCTTGGATTTTAACTAAGATTACCTTGCTATTTGCGACTTAAAATTTACCTCTGCCCTTAATGCCCCCTCCGCCCTCTGTGCCCTCTGTGCCCTCTGTGCCCTCTGTGCCCTCTATGCCCTTTAGGCTTACGTTTATAAAGTACCGCTTAAATAAGAAACTAGCGATCTTAGCTTCTTAAATATAGAGTTGGCTTAGTTGCTTATTAAGAAAGTACTTAATTTCATTAGTATAATATTAAGAAAAATATGTACTGGGTGGGCGCACTAAAAGAGCTGGGTGGGCGGCACCTGGAAGCTGGGTGGGCGGACCTTGGCTGGAGAGGAGTGACGACGCGCTTAGCCGCAAGTTTGGTTCCTCAAGAACTAGGCAAGAGCTCTCAGGCTAGAATTCTTGGCCTTCATTATTTCCACGAGCCACATGATGCCCCCTCACAAAAGCGTTTGGTCTGCATATTAGAATTTGACGCAGAGTATTGCCCGGGAGATAAGACCCCCTCTTCCTGATAAGGTACAGATCAACTTGAAATTATGTGTAGAGGATATCGGACACATCATCTATCATCCAAATCCAGCACATTGTGGGTTGCCGGTTCGGTCCAGTGTACCCCGCGCCTACGTGCCTATGAGATAAGAATCTAGTGGCAATGCCGATCCTCGGCACGGCGAGGTGACTGTGTTCTAGATACGTAAGAATCTTGGCCAAGTACATGATTTCTTTAAGTCGCATCACAGTCCAGGTTCAAGCATCTGATACCACATTATCCTCTTCCCAGTCCAAGTACAGTAACACACGAAGCTCACAGCATCCCGGGCTATTTCTTGAGCCAGAAGAGTCCAGTCCATCAGCGCCCATGTCTCCAATGGAGGTTAGTGTCGACGAGATCACAGGTCTTGCCGCAAAGGCAGGCTTGAAACTCCAAGAGGGTCACGCGGAAGACTATAGCATTCTGACGAGCGAGTTTGAAAACCTTGTTGCCAGTCTTGGGGATGACAAGCTTCTGTATCCAAAACCTGATCTCACTAAATATCCGCGGGAAAATGTGCACATTCCCGAGCCCAAGGATGCTGATGGTGGAGGCTGGGCAACGAAAGTGAGCACGGGGGACAAGACAGTGTTTTTGACCATCGCTGACTCCAAAGTCAGGCCTCAGTCAGGGCAACTTCGCCGAGAAGTCAACTTCTGGACGGTAAGACTGTCGCTATCAAGGATAATACCGCCGTGGCAGGCGTGCGGTGCACGAATGGTTCAACCATGGTCGATTGGACACCTGAATACGATGCTACTATTGTGACCCGTATCCTGGATGCTGGAGGTCTGATCTTGGGAAAATCAGGTAAGCACACTCTTCTCCTTGCGAAGAATTGCTGCAGATTCCAAGTGCGTGATGCACTAACATGAAGCCTAGCTTGCGAGAACAGCTGTCTCGAAGGGACGTCTATATCGTCGTGCACGGGCCGCGTACACAACCCATACGCCGACTTCTACAGTGCGGGGGGTTCCTCGTCAGGCTCCGGTCGGCTGGTGGCAACAGGGTCTGTCGACGTGGCCATCGGAGGCGACCAAGGGGGCAGCATCAGAATTCCAGCCACCTGCTGTGGTATCGTGGGCTTGAAACCGACATGGGGACTCGTTCCATACACGGGTATCCTCAGCCTTGATGCGAACATAGATCATACCGGGCCAATGGCGCGAACAGTCCCTGACTGCGCGAGGCTTCTCGAAGCAATTGCTGGATCAGATGGTTGGGACGATCGTCAGCCGGCGTTCGGCCTCGAAGTTGGGAGCCCGAAGACTCTGTTTCTGGATGCTGTGCTTGACATCACCCAGAAGGACTCCAAGTCTTCCCTCAGCGGGCTCAAGGTCGGTATCTTGAGAGAAGGCTTCGAAGTGCCCCACCAGGACGCCAAAGTCGTTGCCTCTGTCGAAGCTGCCGCTCAGAAGTTCTCACAACTTGGCGCACAGGTCAAGGAGGTCTCCGTTCCCGCGCACCACACGGGCCATGTGATTTGGACATGCGGCCTCCCGATTGCCGGTGGGCGGCAGGCCATCTTCGGTGATATCGACGGAAGGAAGCAGCTCTCACTGACCGACCGCGCGAGCCTCATCACACCGAAACGGCTGAGCCAACGCGAGTTTGACTCTCTGGGGCCGGGCTGTCGGAACTTGTACATCAGGTGGCTCTACTGCGAGGAGAAGTACGGGCCGGCCTTGCAGGGAAGAGTAGGGAACCTGGTCAAGGGACTCGCAGTGAGTTCGCCTAACTCCGCCTTTCTGGGACTTGCCGTGGTGTACTGACCAGACACTTGCACCAGGACAGCTATGATCATGCTCTCAAAGATGTTGATATCTTGGTGATGCCAACAGTGGCCTCGCCACCTCAAAATCTTGGAGATGGCAGCACGAAGGACGGCCCACTCCAGGGCAACGCTCTCACCCCGAGCATAGTATACAATACCTGTCCGTTTGATAGTAAGTCTCCCATTTGCGACTGTCGTATTGTCAGATGAGCAATGCTGAATGAGAACAGGCACTGGTCACCCTGCGTTGTCGCTCCCCTGTGGGTTTGTGCCCGCCTCTGACAACGCTGAGATAAAGCTTCCAACGGGAATAATGCTCGTCGGGCGTAGATATGACGATGTAACAGTCCTGAAGGCTGCTGCTGCATGGGAGAAGGCATTTGATTGGAAGATACTTTGAGTTCCTGTAGTCCTAGTCTCAGTCTCGCTGGATGCTCGATATTGTAACCAGACTTCCACCTAGAAAGCTCATACCCCGGCTTGCCCCATCACTGCACCTGTGTCTGGCTGCCTCTACTGAGTGGCATATTCCTGGTATATTTGTGGTGAAGGGGGACTCCCCCTCCAAATCATATGACCTGAATACAGAGGACACAGAGGACAAGGACAGGTAAGAATGCAGAGAGCATGCTGCTCCTTGCGAGTGTGATCATTTGATAGTGAATGATCTTGCGTGCATTTTTGGTTCAGATCATAGATGATGCTAGGGCAAGTTGTTTGCTGTGAATGCAGCAAACATTTCATGAACAGGGTTGGGGGTTGTCAGTAGGAAGAAAGGGTACTTGGGTAAATGTTATCCTATTGTCTAACAATACAAGCAAATTGGGTGCAGTATGCAGCACCAGCCATGTACATGTACACATGGGGTTGGCCCGTGCGGCGAGCTTCAGTCGCGAATGGCAGCTTTGGAAAAGTCGCGTCCCCCAGCCCAGCTAGCGAGTCCTGGGCCGTGTTGCCCATCCCACTTCTTGCAGCACATTCAACATCAACAAACCCTTCACTCAGCCTGCCTGCCGGCCAGCCCAAGACCGAAACACGGGAATTGGTCGCTGGCTTCTCGCTGGTTTTCGGCCTGACGTCCATGTGAAATTGACTGACTAGGTTCTCCAAGCGTCGACAGTCAACAACTCAATCGGCCTTCCCTGAAGAGTGGTCTATTTGACGACCTGCCCAACTCAGCTCGCCATGTCTTTCAAAGTGCCCGATGACGACGATGAGAGCAGTCTGCTCTCCACCCCGGACCACAGCCGGTATGCTAAGGGAAAGGGCCTCTTCGACTTTGGCAATATGCCTTCCACAACACCGGCCGTCCCTCCCCCAGCGTCCCATGCGAGCAGCACCCCCGCCGGCACGCCTTCTGCCTCCTTCATGGGCAGCTCTTTGATGAAGGCTGTTGGTGCTAGTAACTCCAAGAACCCTTTCGCTCTGAGCGGCATGGATGACAAGACTCCTCCCGTCAAGAACCCATTCGCTGCTGCAGGCTCCGCTCCCAAGGCCAACCCCTTCGCACCTGCGCCTCCAAAGAATCTGTTCGCCGCAAAACAGAAATCGAAATCGAACGCTCCACTCGGCCGATCTGTCCGCTCCAGTACGACGCGCAAGCCTTCGCGGCTTAGGGAAGAAGTCCTGGACGACGACGAAGACGAAGAGGAGGATGTTGCGACAACCCGGAAAGGCGCAGGCTCGTTCCAGGTGGACTATGGAAACGACTCGGACGACGACTATGACGAGTCCGAGGAAGATGAGGACGAGGAGCTAGATGACGCGCCAGCCAGACCAACTCAAAACCGCTCAGCAAAGGCTTTCATGGAGGATTTCGACGGATACTCTGATGCCGAAGGAGAAGAAGAAGACGCAGGCGAGGGAGATATGTGGCTCGACATGGAGCACGACGAGAATGGCGAGGCAATGGATGTATCCGATCTGATGATGCTACAGACGCCAGCGGCGGACGAGAAAGTCTTCAGGGAGGCAGAAGGCATCTTCCGGGCCACTGCACAGCGATCAGGCGGACGGAGACATTCCTTCACGATCGCTTCAATCGCGAAGGACCTCTATAGCCAATCCAACTACGCGACAATAACCGAGCCGCCCGAGGTAATACTTGACACCGAGCGCTTGATCACCCGACTCTACAAGGATGGCGTGGGAGCGGAAGAAGATGACGAGAGGCTGGATGAGACCTTGGCCACCGTCTCGGGGAAGCTCATCGGCCTGTGGAAATCATATGTCGACACTCTTCCTCTGCAGTCTGAGGAGCACGCTGCTGAGATCGGCCCGGCACCTCAGTCCCTGCCATTCGAGAAGGCCACCTACGTTGCGACTCTTGCCCTGCAAATACATCACACCAGGACAGGCGAAGATGGCAGGGCGACGGAACCCCTCCCAGAGTCCCTGTTCCGCTGGCTTGCCGAGCACCACAATCCCTACCCGGCCCAGGTCCAAGAAGTTCTGCAATGCAGACCGTGTCCGGCCAGTCATAGTATGTTCTGGCCGACTGTGTGCATGGCCCTGCTCCGAGGCCAGGTCGCCGAGGCGCAGACGCTGTTGGAAAATGCAGGCTGGGGATCCGTCAAGGCTAACCGCCGGGGCGAATTGGAGTACTCTGGCCGCGCGCTTGACAACGTACGGTTTGCGGCTGAGGACACAATCAACATGCTGGAGCTCTGTCCTGGGAAGAAGGGGAACTGGGACATCTCGCATGACGACTGGAAGATCTTCCGTGTCAAGGCGCGGGGCGCATTGGATCAACTGCGGCGTTTCGCAGAAGGCAAGAACAGAATGGTTATTGACGACGAGATGTCGGATGGCTATCAGTCTCTGACCGCGGCAGCCAGGAAAGCAGAAAGCCAGGTTCCTTGGGAGATCTATGAAAATCTGAACGTCATCTTTGAGATTGCCCTTGGCGCTCAAGATGTGATCCTCGACACTGCGCAAGACTGGTGTGAGGCTACTATCGGCCTGTTCGGCTGGTGGGACGAAAAGCGAAACAATAAGAGTAACCGCCTGTCCAGGTCGCAGGCCCTCAGGATGGGGCCGCAAGCCTTGGGCTATGAAGGTTACATGGAACGGCTCGCTCACTCGTTCCAGACAGCTGTGGCGTCCGATTTCTCCTTCAACTCTCTGAACCCCGTTGAAGTTGGCATGGCCTGTGTCTTCGAGGACAACGCCAAGGCAGTCGTGGCTCTGCTGAGAACGTGGTCACTTCCTGTGGCTGCAGCGGTCGCAGAGATAGCTTCCCTCGGCCGCTGGCTGCCGCAGCACCAGCCATCGGCCCTTTACGCATTCGATGACCTGGATTTGGAGGACATGGAAGTCCTCGGAATCAACCCCACTGACCCGGACGAGACAGATGGGGTCAAGGACAACACACTGATCCAGTACGCGCAAGAGCTGTCAAACTACAAGGAGTTGACCTCGGTCAGGGACAACTCTGGTGTGTCACGAGACGGCTGGGAGGTCGCGATCCATGTGCTCGGTAGGATGGACTCGCCACAAAGGTCGGAGGAAACAGTTGGCGAGCTAGTTGAGAACATACTGGAGGAGATGGACGTCGAGTCCACCGAGATGGTGGACAAGGTGTGGAGGCTTCTCAACGAACTTGGCATGATCCAATTTGCCGAGCAGGTTGCAGAGGTAAGCCTGTCTCTTCCCAAGCCCAACGACTTTGTGACGGACAACTAACAAGACCATAGCACTTTGGTGACCTTTTGAAGGAGACATGCTTTCGCTACGGCGAGGCAATGTGGTACTACGCCCTGTCCCATCGACCAGCCAAAGTGCGAGATGTCATGCACTTCCTCATCGCCTACTCCCTCATCCAATCTGCCGCGTATCCGCCTGCCGCAGAGCTGGACGACCACCTGCGGCAGCTCCTCAAGCAGCGCAACACCACACTCGAACAATTGGCCAAGCAGGATCTTGAAGCAGCTGAGCTTCTCGGCAAGATGCTTGCCGGTTATGCCACGCTTCGCAAATTCTATGAGATCCGCGACGACGAGTCACTGCCCCTGGCAAGGCGGCAGAAGTCCGCCGCGGTAGCACTGACAATTGTGATTGCCTCTGCCGACGACAACATTCGTGGCGGTCTGTACGACGCATCGCGCGATGCAATCGTCGGCGAGGACTTTTTGCTGGCTCTGCTGGGCGAGGCGCTCATATTTGTCGACCACAGCCAGCGGGGCCCGGGCTCTCCACCGCTCATCACACTTGAGCAGCTCGATGTCCTGCTCAAGGCAGTCGAGGACCTCCAGACCGTGGGCAGCAGAGTTTATGAGACGTGCAAGGATTTTTTCCAGTTGGTGCTTGCATCTGCTCCCAAGCTTCTGAAGGGCTCCACGCCGGCGGATCTGATGAAGAAGTCAACGGAGAAGGGCAGCATGGTGCTGACGGGGAGCTCAATGCTGGCCTCGCAGCTGCACCGGTCTGTGGCTGGTGGATCACCGGGGAAGAACAGCGCAGTAGCACCGAAAGCAAATGCAAGGAGGGGCTGGGATTGGAGGTCTGGGCTGGACTACTCGACATCGGCGGAGCAGGTGTTGCGGATCCTGAGGCTAGGTCTGACAAAAGACCTGGCCAAACTGTGGCTCGTGGAGGCAGACGGCGGGATGCCGTGAGGAGCAAGGGAGTACGGATATGGCAGGTCGCTTTCTTTTTCAGAAGCATTGGAGGATCCAAAAGGCAGGCATTCCATAGCACGTAATGACTGTTGATAATGTATTTCATGAAGAGCAGGGAAGTGGCGCTGAAAGTTGAGTGATATTCTTGTTGGCGTCCTGTGGGGCCAAGACGGAAGTTGATGGCACGGCGTGATGCAACATCTGCCGTGCTCACACGTGAAGGCGACGGTTCGACCGGCCATCCCATGTCCAGAGGCAGAATGGACCTCCCCGTCGATGGGCGGGGGCTCGGGGTCCAGCGGACAGTCCCGAATCGACGAGTCCCGAACTTAAGACCGGAGTTATAGTTGGGCCACCAATACCCGCCTCGCGACAAAACATCAATCGGATAGGCAGACCCTGTTCCCTGACTCTCTGTTTTGCCCACTCACTCGTCCGTACCCAAGCAATTTATCAGCGAGGATCTGTTTTGGACCTGCCTCGTCACGACACACACATATACACTTTTCGCCCACCATGACGGCGCCGGCGGAACCACCCAGATACGTCTACAAGATCGTAGACACGGAGCCTCCGTTCCCCATTCCGGATGTATTCCCGCCGTCGGAGCTTGACAGGAAGGACGGCTTCATCCATCTGAGTGCGCCTTGGCAGGTGAGTCAGCCGAGTCCAAGCACCACCACCACCACCACCAGCATCATCGCACACTGCAGCCATAACACCCTCCATCCGTTGGCCGCCTCATCCTCATCCTCAAACCGCCCGCAACGGGCCGGCCCGCCCCACCTGCTACCTTGACTGACCACAAGAAAAACGCCGTGAGGAAAACACAGCTCCCCGTCACGGCAGACCTCTTCTTCAGCAGGCACACCACCCTCTGGGTGCTCAAGGTCCGGCTGGCCAGCATCGAGAGCTCGGTGCGGTGGGAGCCCCCGGCCGGCGGCGGCAGCAGCAACAGTGGCGAGGGGTACCCGCACCTGTACGGCAACCTGGGGCGGGCGGACGTCGAGTCCGTCGAGAGGTTTAAGCGGACCGCCGACGAGAGGGGCGTGTTCCAGGGGAGATGGAAGGACGTCTTCTCCGACTCAAGGTGGAGGGCCTGGGAGGAGGGGAAGGGCATGGCTGTGGAGGAGTAGGTTTGGAAGTTTAAAGCGGGTGTCATAGAGAGGGAGAGGTGCATATATATATGCACGTATGTATGCCCTTCACTTCACCCAAGGGGCGAACAAGCAATTCTTACCTCACGGATGTGGTTACTGCGTGTCTGTCTGCCATGCTCATGCTCACCCAGACTGGCCGAGCTGATGTCCAGTTCTACATAGACTATCGAAGCATGGAAAATGCTAATGGCTTCTCAATCTGCCCATGGCTGACTTCCATAATTCCACCTGTGCGTGCAGCTACAACTCTCACCCGCCCGTATTCCTGCCAGGAACGCGGCGGTGGGGAGTGGATAGCATCTAGGGGCGGAGGGACAACGGTCAAGGGCACAACTGAAACAGACCGAACCCGTCGTCTTCATGGAAGGGGGCAGTGGTCCGTGGCTCAGGACGGACTTTCCATCCTTGCAGCCAGCGCACATTCTCGCAGGCAAACAGAACTCTAACCTGCCTCGACCGTCTGCTCCAGTGGACAAACTGACAGTCTGATTTACTTCGTCCGCCCCGTCTCACGTTCAATCTTTTAGTCCTGCTGGTGTTGAGCATCTACCCTTACACATCATCACATGGCTGCAAAGATTCTTTGACTTCGTGACTTCTCTTTTTTACAACAAACAACGTCATCCCCATCCTCAAGGCTGGAATCGCTATGCATCCCTCACCCACCCACTATCACAGCCAAATGCTCCAAGTCAAACCTGGTTTGCTCGCCAGTACGCCTTGGATCTTCACTTCTCATGGGCACTTAACCCAAAGGACCTTCACTGTCCCGCATGCCGGCCCCATCCCATCCGGCTTCCAATTTTAAATACTTGACACGTGCCTTGTCTGGTTCCTCGAGTCTCCCGCAACTCGCTCGCGGGGTGTCCACCCGCCTGTAAGATCACGCAAATCAGCCAGGTGACTTGACAGGTTTTCGCAACCCAGCCTTGCCAGTATGTTGATCCGTGGCTATTAGCTGACTTTGCATTTTCCCCCCTCTGCCTCTATTCCAACCTTACCGTGCCCCTCGTCTTCCCTCGTTCTGGGACAACTTCCACAGTCCAGCCTCCGCCCACATCCCAATGGGTCAATGCTGGGTTCGATCCTCGACTCCCTTCTCTGGTTTGTACGAGTGTTAGCTTGGGCCCGTTTGCCTTTCCACAGCCGTATCGGATGAGTGGCTCCCTTCAATCCCAGCTGTTTCAGCGCTTGCCGAGCAGGCCCGAACATCCGCGAGCGCGTGCTCCGGTCGGTCAGCCGCGTTCAAGTTGACTGAAGCGGCACTCCCATCGCACAGGGATCTCTGTCCCCATGGACGCCGTCGCGTCCTCGGATGTGTTCATTGTTCCTGGAACCATCCCCAGGCTTTCAGTGGAGGTCACAAGGGCCTCAGCCGCTGCTGATCCGCAATCACTTGTATCCCCTGATGTATTGGCGTCTAACATCGTCAGCTACGATGGCTATTGCCCAAGACCCCTGGGCCTTGATGACCTCGAGAGCAGCTTCCCTCAGTCCCAACATCGTTCGCAGGGTGCTCGCCCGCCGCTAACATCCATCCATTGCCGCTCCCAGGGGCAGTCTCAGCACAGCCATGGTGGCCAACCTGGGCGTGGCGCCTGCGATGGCCGACTTCTAGTTCCACAACTGATAGAACAGCAGATATGCGACCTTGTTGTGGTCCTTGTGGTCCCGGACAGGCTTGCTCTTGGGCGTGCTGGTGCCAGATGAGCTCCCGTTGACGCCACTGCTGTATTTCTTTGTGCCATTCGCGCCAGGACCGACTTGCTTCCAGTCACCGTCGTTGTCTGTAGCATCATCGTCACCCATGGCGGCGAAGCGGTTGTTGCTCGAATCGTTGACCCTCTCGTGCTTGGTGGCAGCGGCAGTCTTTTGGTTCGCTTCCTCGACCCCTCCCTCTGCGACAGCCTCACCACTGATGCGGGTAATGATAGTGTCATCGAACCGCAGCCATTCCTGGCCGTCCTGGCGAAGAGCATCAACGGTGTAATGACCGCTAGTGACACTCGCACCATGATGATAGACCACACCAGTGAGTTTATACCTGGGAAGATCGCGGCCTCCAGCCAGCAACCTGTTGCGGGTCTGTCTTGAAAGAATTTCCTGCGGCATCTCGAATTCCAGGGGGTAGCGTACCACCTTCCAAGTCTTTTCGGCTTCACCTCCGTTTACATAGAAGCGTTTGAGGTGCATGATTAGGATGGGTGGCAGGGTTTCTATCAGTGTCTGCTTCGTTCCGTTGACCTCAATACCTTGGGAGTTTTTCGATGTAATAGGTTCGGATCGGTGGAAGTACTTCAGTGCATCTATGACTGTCTTGATCGACGGGTCGTCAATGGCGAGCGAGAGGTTTTGATACGCGTTGTATGTGACGGACTCCTTGCGCGAGAGTCTGAGGACTTCTCGGTGTTGACCAGAGAAAATCTTGCTGATGGGATTCGGGATGGTGGCGGGCCCTGATCTTTGGCTGACGGCAAGGCGCTGGCGCTGTCCCACCTCGGTCCAATCATCTGATGCATCAACGCCACCGTTGATATCATGCTGATCGAGTGAGGCCTGATCAGAGCCCGACGCGAAAGTCGCAGAGTCTCTGATCATTCTTTCGCACTCCTCTTCGAGACCATTCAGTAGGAGCATGAGGAACTCAGGGGCGTCATGTTGAGAGCCCGGCTTGATGCATGTTAGCCACGAAGTGATTTTCAAAAGGGCAAGCTCTGCTAGCCAATATACCACTCACCTTCACGGTGTTGAAACGCTCCAGCTCCCTAACAACCTTGTAGACGCCGTTTGGCGCAAAAGCCTTACCCAGAAGATGGTGATCCTCAGGTTTCAGCTTCCTTTGCAATTGGTCGGGACTATCAGCAGAATTAATTGGCCGAAAATCCGAGATGAATCCGATCCTACATGGCGGTCAGCTAGTTTACACATGCAACTCATTGGACTTTGGACTCACATGGCATCGATCAAAGGTGTCTTTGACGACGACTTGAAACTGTGAACAACGTTCTTGCGAACTTGGTCCAGGAAGTTGTAAAATGGTGTGCAGAAAAGGAGCAATTGCAGGACCTGCGGACAATGTCTCTGTGAGTATGTACTGTGCTGTATTGCAAATCGAAAACTGTACTCGGACGAATCGACCAACTTACCGAGTTCATGTAGCAATCCGTGCCAGTATTCTTCAGACCACTAGGTTCGATAAAGTGAATTGGGCCACTGTTCCCCGCTTCGAAGGACTTGAGGGCTTCAGCCAAGGAAGCAGAGCTAGACTTGGCCGATGCCGCTGCGCCAATGACCTCGGATGAGGCGTTGTCACCAGTTGCTATACCGTTCAACTCGGGCTGGCCCTGCGCAGCTGGCTTCGAGACTGTGCGTCCTTTCGCGATAGCGGCCCAGGATTTTGGAGCGGCCGGCGGGGCGGGTTTCTCCTCCTGCTTTGGTTCTTCGGGGGCTTCGGTCTGGTCTTTGGGTTTGTCATCTTGTTTGACAGTCTCTTCTTGGCCGACTGTCGGTTTGGTACGATCGACGGCGCCGTCCTTGGGCAGGGCAGGAAGAACTGGCAGTGCCGGGACTGCACTGCGGGTTGTGGTCTTTGGTGGCTGTATGGATGCTGAGACAGACGTGGTTTTTTGAAGCGGTGAGCGTTGGGCCGTTGGTTCTGGCGTGCTTGTTGTCGATGCATCTGTAGCGACATTGAGTGTAGACGATGTCGTTTCCGTCAAGCTGGAGTCATCTCGCTCGTCGTTTGCGGCGGGCTTTTCGGATGAAGCTCGGGTTTCAACAGTTTCCGCTGCCGCAAGACCTGCGGAGACTTCTGACTGTGGAACTTGTGGTGTGTCCGTTGTCGTAGCCTGCGAAGCCTTCTTCCTCCTTCTGGGCTTGCTCCTCTTAGGCCACTCGTCAAGGGGGTGGGTAGACCAAGGAATCTGGAGACAATTAGTACAGTTCTGCGTCAATTGCAGGGCTCGGAGCGTGAGAGCAGCCGGTAGCTGCAGTATCGCCCATTCCGTATTCTTGAGACTTACTTGATGCCACGTGCGTCCAGGCTGGGGCTCGATGGGGCTATAGACCGGCGACGTTGGCTGAGATGCTACCTGAGTACCAGCGCTTGACGGTACTGATTGGTATGTAGGCTTCGGCACTTCCTGTTGAGGCTCTGTTGAGGCAAGTCCATGCTCTGAGGGTTGAGGATAGAAGTAATAGGGGTCTGAGGTCGCTTCTCCATTGTCGGGCTGGGCGGACGACGGTGACTGGTTCACGGGTGTCTCGGTGGGTATTGGAACGGATGGCACCGGAGCGGCCTGCGGGGCGGGATTGAAGACTGGCGGAGTCGGCTGCGGAGGAGGAACGACGGGTGGGATGGGAACGACATCAGGGGACTGGACTGCGGCCATCGGAGGTGGCGGCGGGTAAGGGGTGTTGATAGAAGGAGACTGAGGCAATTGGTAATGAGGAACAGAGGCGCCAGGGTACCATGACTGCATGGGCATATGCTGCTGGGCGTAGTAGTGTTGTTGGTGTTGCGGATGGCCGTACGCCGCAGGCATGACGCCGTTCTGGTTGTAGTGGTAGCCCATGTATGGCTGCTGATTGGGATAGCCATACATGCCATTGTATCCTTGCTGAGGGTAGGAGCCGTACATGTGTGGAGAGAACTGAGAGGGCTGAGCCTGGGCCTGGACCTGTTGCTGTGCGTAGTAGTTCTGAGGTTGGGCAGGGTGGGAATACTGTTGTGCCCTGCCGCGACCTCGGGACTGGGGGTACTGCGACGGGTACAAGGCTCGGCCGCCGTTCGGGACGGGGCTTCCTCCCATGTTGTATGAAGGCTGAGCCCCGTGGCCTCCGTGGCCGCCGTGGCCTCCGCCCGGCATGGCTGGTGACCCAGCCGGCAGATGACCGTTACTCATCTTGCCGGCTTGGGAGGTATTGTTTCGCCGGCGCGATCACTAGCCGGCTCGTCGTCAGGGTGGCCGGAGCAGCAGACACGGAGCTTGTCGTGAGATGCCACAGCGGGGATATCCAGCCTTGCTTGGAAGCACAGGCCGGTCTTAAGGGTTCGACCGTATAGACGTCGTGCGATGCGACTCGGCCAGAGCCGTTTGCCAGCGCGAGAAATCTGGGCAGAAGTCTCGGTTAGCTCAAGATCCTCGTGCCGGCTGGCTGGCTGTTTGCGACAGGCAGCTTGACGGGTGGGTTTTGCATTTGTCACTCACAGTTTATCAGGTGCTGGTCTGCCCTTGGAACGGCGAGATGGCTGGGCGAGGTAATGGCCAGATGTGTTGTGATGCGAGAGAGCCTTTGGCCGGCTGCACGCAGTCAGAGGCTGAGAGCAATCAGTCACTCCGAATGATGTTGTTGCGGACTGCTGCGGGCTCGGCCACAAAATTTGGGAGGGAGCACAGTGACAGGGTACCAAGGTCGCAGCATTGGAACTTGGAAGAGCTCGGGTCACCCGGCGATCCCTGCCCTTCAGGACTGTCCTTGGTCGGACCCGGGCACCACATAGTCTACTGCACCAATTGGTTCTATGGACCAGCACCTAGCTGCTAGCTCACCCCAGCTCTTATTAATCCAGGTAGGGAACTGGCAGGGGGAGGGCCTCAGGTACCACCACCCACGAGTCTGGCCCCGGTCATAGTCCAGATGTCTCCTTTCAGAGACAATCCAAGACAGCCCACACTATCTAGGCTAGGCACACGTGCTGTCAGTGTATCACCATTGCTGACTGATGATAAAGAATCACTCTTGACATGCAACATTGAGGTTGGTTTGCTGCTAAGGTTGGGTTGAGGCCTAAAATTGTTCTCACTTAGCTTTGTTTGTTAAAATGCCTCTAGACCACCTTCATTTAGGATAAACAAGGATGTGCTACAAAATCCGCAGAGGCTACGTAGCCAGTGCAGCCCTACTCCTCAGAGAGGGAGAAGGTATACCAGGTACCGTACTGGAAGAACGAATGCACCGTTGAACCACAAAGAACGTGGTTTGTACCACCCTCAGTGACAACCATATGGCGCAGATGGGTCCATATATTCTCCGAAGCCACTTGACGCCTTCGCTACACCACCACCGAGTCTCCAAGCAGAGGTTACTACACGGGTCACCCACCGCCACACGCCTGTTCAGCAAATCAAGCAACTTTGAAGCCAGCCAGCCAAGATCTCAACAATCAACTCGTCAACGACCATCCTCGTCCCGGAACAGCCACCTCCCGCCGGGCCTCATCGCCTCCCGGTACCTCTCATTCACCAACGCCTTCTGGATCTCTTCCCCTTGTCTCCTCTCCTCCGCCCTTTCTTGCGTGCTGGGGAACTCCACCGTCCAGAAACCCGGCGGGCTCGGCATCCTGGAATATCTCTGCCGATGCCGCCCGAACTTGCTCGACAGCTCCCACGTCTTGGCCAGAAGCCACGTTTCCTCCTTTTCGTCGCGCGTCATGCTGCCCAATTTGTACGCATCGTCCCCGAGGTAGTTCTCGAGCAGTTTGATGTCTTCCGCACGGGTGGTGACCGAGGGGCCGATAGTTGAGCGTTCGGCCTTGGCAAAGGACCGAAATGTCTTGCCGCAGCAGTTGAGGTCGGTGCAGCCGGACAGAGCTGAGCGTGCTTCTCTACCCCGGACGACTTCGTCATAGACATAAGTGAGTCCATCATTATGACTCGGATTAGGCTTGAAGTCCTCGGGTCTCAGCGTGTCCATCTGTCTTTGGCGCAGAGGCACCTTCTCTCTGTCTGTCAGTCGCCCTCGGGGCATGTCATCACGTATAATCGAGGGCCTCTTTGGGGCACGTCCTCGGGCCGAATTTGTTTTGTTCGGCGTTGCGCTTGCGGCCTTCTGCTGCACCGGTGTGGCCAATATTTCTTTAGGTGACAGTTTCTTGCCGTGAGGAAGCTCGCGCCGGGCAGGGACCCGGAGAGCATCGTCGAGATCATCTTCTGGGGCAGGCTGGAGGCCCTGCACTCTGTGAGAAGCGGGTTGGATCTTGGGTTTTGGAGTCCTGACGGACGGCGAGTTGAGCAAAGCGTCCAGGCGGCCTTTAGCCACTCGACGCTGAACAGTAGTCATGTCGGCATCTCCGTCCTCTGCGAGATCTCTAATCCCCAGGCCGAGGTGGAATACCGTACGGCTATGTGGCTGTTGTTCATTAGGGTTTCCCGATGCTGAAGTACGAGCCACAGCCTCGTGGGACGCTGGGGCGCGGTCCGAATTTCGTATGTTCCCAGGGCCTATTGCTGGCGTTGGGAGCGTCTCGGTTGCAGCGGGCGGCGCAGGTGTGTCGTGTGAGGGAAAACCAGTCGCTCTAAACACGCGGTCGCCATCTTCACTTGCGTGTTGCTGGGGTTTCCCCAACCCCCTGCGTTTCTTGGGAGTTGGGATATGTATATCCTCCTCAAAGTCGAACTCTCGGTAGGTGCGAATACGTGTATCTCTCCGGTACATTCAGGGCCTGAACTGCTGTGTTCAGACTTGATCCTCTGCACTTGTTTGTTCTTAGGCTCGTCTTCTCGGTCACGTCTCCTTTTGTGGACTGGTCTTTCGGACACAAATACCGGTCCATCCGATGATAATTCGACTTTTATGGCAACACTCGAACTGTGCTCTCGTCGCTCAGGGAGCTTCGGAAGCTCGGGTGGCTCAGCGGCAGGACCGTTCTCGGGAGTGATGGCCTCATATACGTCCTCTGTCAGATTTCCTGGGTCTTCGGTGCCAGTCTGTGCTCCCGTGTTTGCATATCTCGAAATAGTGAGACATGTCGATGGATCTCGTGCCGCATTGGTCGAACTCTCGAAGCTCGAGTCTGGACTTGGCCTCCTCGGCTCGTCCACGCTGACATCCAGACGTTCGTCATCAGTCAGTGGTCCAATACCAGCCGTATCTGCGTGTACCTCCGAGAAGTTTTTGGACTGGCACTGGGCAAGTCTCTTCCGCAGTCTTTCGATGATTGCTTTCTGCTTGTCCGAAGCCTCTGCCCACTTGTCGATCTGCTCGATCCTTTGCCGTAGCACTGACTTGTACTTGTCCCGGGATTTCTCAAGGATGTTGTACTTTGCATGAAGTTTGTTGTATTCCTTCTCGTAATCTACTGCTTCGGCACCAAGTCGGGATCCGGGGGTTGCAGTTCGAGAGGCGGCAAGTTTGTTCGGGGATAATTCGCCCAGTGGTAGTCGCTTCTTGGGGGGTGTTGTTTCTGGGGCTTGGTGGGACTCGAGGAGCTCTTGTAATTGTTTTCTCAGAGATTCGTTGTCTCGTTGTAGCTGAGTGGCGTTGGCGGCGTGGTCTTGAAGCCGTCGCAGCTCCCCCAACAGCTCTTCATGTCTGCGATCACGCTCTTGTAGCTCTAAAGATCAAAATCAGTAAGAGAAACAGCTAGGAGACCTTTTTGTACAAGCTCGTTTGCATACCGGCTTTTGCGCCCTCCTCGATTTTGTTAAACGCGTCAACCAAAGCCTCCTGAATGGCAGACTTGCCATCCTGCAGCCAGGTCGACATCCCCAACTCCCCACTACTCAGGACGTGCAGGACATTGAGTGTTGAGCCCGTGTCTTGGACTGGTTGGTACGAAGGTGAGCCGGGACCAATATCATTCCAAGCTTTGCATTGAATGAAGGACGAGAGGCTGCCGAAGCGGTGTTGGAGCGTGGACCTCCTTGACGCGTGCTTATCACGACGCGCTTCTGTGAGATGGAACGCCTTGTCACATGAGCCAAGTTCCGGCTGTCGGTCACCTCTTAGGCTGGAACGCTGGCGGGCAGGGGTCGGGCTGCAAGGGCCAGCCGGCTGTGGACCCTGCTGCCTTTTCATCCGTCCCACCTGTTCACAAGATGGACATCGGTACATATCAAATAGTCTGTGCGACATAGACGACACAATGACCGAGAGAACGCCTCCCGGCCTCTCCTCTTCGTATACGGTAAATCTTTTGTCTTCACGGTGCTTGACTCTTTGAGGTGGTCAAGTTGCCGTTTTAAGAATCAAGGCGATCCAAGCTCAATTGGGTGTCGAAGTCTTCATGCCATTTCCTATGGCGTAAAGCTCTACTGGAGCCCGTTTTCGTAATGGCGTTCAACAGCCCCCGAGATGCTTCATAGCCAACCAGGCTGCAAATGTCGTGTCAGGCTAACCCGGTCGGTCTTTGGCCCGCCTGACCGCAGGTTCAGACAATTGCACCGGGCTGGGCGACAACTTTGAGGCATGGTAGCGTAGGGGTTTGGCTCCTAGTGTTGTCCTACAGTGCCTATCCGGAACACAGTCCCCCGACGGCGTCGTGGCACCAAACACCAGTTTGATCCGGCTTGCCACCCTCTGGATCCTGCAGCCGCTAGATACAGGTGCAGACGCTGTGTCTGGCCAGCTCTGGCACGTCATTACGGTTGTTTTCGGCGCACATAGTATCCGAGGGTCTGGAACGACCGTCTGGGCGCATGGGCGAGCAAATCGCACGAGTGTCCAACCCAAGGCAAGGCGGTCAAGAATTGAAGCGGTGCATAGGCTAAACAGACAAAGCGGTTGTTCGAGAAGGCTTCGGCGGGCACACTATCCCCTACACTACCGTCCAGTCTACCGGACAGTGTCGCCAACGGCACAACGGTTATACCAGTGAGGAGAGAATGAGCGAGCCGATGAGTGTAGGGGCGTACTGTCAATGACACTGGCCAGTGGCAAGTCTCTCTCAGTCGATTACAAACAGATGAGACAGGAGCCTTTCTCATATTGAATTCCCGGTTCTACTACCAGTGCCCAAAGATGCTACTTGGAAATATCTGGTGAGTTTCTCCTCGTTTCCATGGAGGAGTTGATAGTGGTCGCCCGGTATGCTTGTTCTCAAAGTCAATTCCCAGCACTTGGATAGCTCAGATGCAAATCCTAGATTTCCCAAGGGACTCAAGGCGTGCACAACCACAACCACGATTATGCCAATGCTCAGCTAACAACCCAACCCATCACCAGTAGCCCAGCTGGGCAAGTCCATTCTCACGTGGTGCCTCCAGGTCTGCAACATGCAGGGGATGGTGACACCCTGCGGCCAGTGCCACAGCCCGTGATGAGCATTGGTGTCTACTGAGGAGAGAGATCTCAGATAGATGCAGGGGTTGCTGCCCCACCTTCTACTTCTGGAAAGATGGCATTGTCAAAAAGCCTGAGGAAAAGGCTGTGCCTGTCATGTCACTGCCCAGTGGTCAGAGGGAAAGCAGAGCTTGTGGGGCGATTGCAGCCAGGGCTCAGAACTCCCAGCCAGTTTGGGACCCTTCACTGTATGCCATATATCTACAGGGCCTGTTCATGTCTTCTTGCCTTCTTGCCATCTTGCTTGGTCATCAGCAGACCAGCTAGCCTTCTCTGTGTATCTCAATCACCCTCCTCCCTCATGTGATGGACATCCTGGCAACTTGGGTGTCTCTTGATGAGCAGCCGGGCTTGGGGAACATTTCCCACATGCCTAGGTACAGTTGCCTTGTGTCACCACCGCAGTCAGGCCGGCCTCCAGATAGATGGCTGCCAATCCCAAGGGTCCCAGTCCGTGGCCTGTCTGCAGGTCTTGGTGTTGATAACCGCCCTGCCTGTCTGCCCGCCAGGTGGATTGCCTGGCCCAGTTGCCCTCTTTGGCCTGTCACACAGGGTCTTCCAATCTCTGCAAGGACCACCCTGTCAGGTGGATGCGGAAATTCACTTCCTCGGCCCTCCTGGCCCTCCTGTGCTGTGCTGTATGCAGGAGAAGTGATTCCCTGTCTAGCCCCTCTCTGTGTGCTCCAAGGCTGGAGTACTTTGTGCCCAAGTACTCTGTGCTTTTTTCCCAGCACTTCCCCCCGCCCGATCAACCTGATCTACTTGCTTGCTTGTCCTTGTTGTAGAAATATTTCCTTGTAGCCCCTTCTCGAGCCAGGCCAGCAGAAGATTTGTTTGCATGTCACACAAATCTAATTTGCCTGTCTCACATCTTTCCTGCCTACGCCTTGCCTTGCCCTCACCCTCACCACTTCTACTCACCTACTCATTCACTGGACCCAGGAACCCCTCTCACTCATCTTATTTCTCCATCAACATCAACCACCTTTGTAACAGAACCTGCCATCTCAAGAAAGGAATATCTGCCGTCGCATCCTGCACGTGCCTCGAGGCTCTAGACTCAGTACTTTCGGCTCAAACGGTATGTAACCAATGGCATCCCCGACCTGGACGGAGGAAAATTCGATTCGTACCTGCCCCACTCACACGGCAAACGGTTTTCACCCCACCCTCCACCTTTTTGCCCTTCCCTTGCCTTCCCAGACTTTGTCCTGGCCTGCGTCCTTCCAACTCCAAACCCCCAACGCCAGATTTGAAAACCTCACTTCTCTCCTACCACCTTTTCATAATCAAATTATTCGCTGACTAGACTCTCACCTGCTCATCTCAGGCCTCCCTCACTCACTCTCAAATACCAATCCCCAACCCCAACCAACCAACAATCATGGATGCCAGCAACTTCGGCGGCGGCGCTGCTCCTCGCGCCTGCTACAGCTGTAAGTTGGACCCCGTACCTGTACCTGAATCTTGCCCACGCATGCTGCCCTGGCCTCCATCCCCAGAGCCCAAGTCCAATGCACATCCAAGTGGTCTCGTGACCTCGTGGCCTCGTGTCGGCGGCATTGCAACCCTCGTCCCTTTACCCCAACTCTATGGCCTCGTCACCGTCGTCTATGCAGCCCATGGCCGCTGGCCGTCCTGATTGTGCGCCCCAAGCTTGTGGCGCAAACACACTTGATCGTTCGCCCGCCGTCTGCACAGCCGGGCCCAATGCGCTGGTACACTTGTGTGCGCTTTGGCTTTCTCCACTCCACACTGCTCCTTGGCTCTGTTCGCAGCGACCCAATTCTAAGAGCTCATCTCCAGGGCACAAAAATGTACCCTTCTATTTCGTTCACGTTGGCGTGGTGTGTTGAGAGATCTGACGAGAATGCGATTTAGGCGGTGCCACCGATCACCAGGTATGCATGGTCACAAACCAGGGCGGATGAGGTCGAGGACGTGTCATGTCGTCGCGGATACTGACAACACCCCTTACAGGCTCGCGAGTGCCCTACCCGTGGACCCGCCAAGTGGTAAGTGCCTGTCCATGCCCGAAGGCCAGACGCGACGAATACTAATCATGTTTCTAGCTACAACTGCGGAGGTGAGACCTACGAGCACCTTGCAGCGATGTTGGGTTCCAATGCTGACTATCATTTTTCTTGTCATCAGCTGAGGGTCACATGAGTGAGTTTCTTGGTCTCTCCCCTGTGGAAGCGCTGAGAGCAGCATGTTGATGATCACATTGCAGGCCGTGAATGCCCGGAGGGTGCTAAGGACACCAAGACCTGCTACCGCTGCGGTCAGGCCGGCCATATCTCTCGTGACTGCCAGTCCGCTGGCCAGTCCGGTGGCGGTGGCGGCCAGGACTGCTACAAGGTTAGTTTCTGCCGTGCAGTCAGCGCAAACGGACGTCGCTAAATATTTCCAGTGCGGTGAGGTTGGACACATCGCTCGCAACTGCCCCCAGAACGGCGGCTACGGTGGTGGATACGGCGGTGGTCGTGGCGGCTACGGCGGTGGCTACGGCGCCGGCGGTGGCCAGAAGACTTGCTACAGCTGCGGTGGCATTGGCCACATGTCTCGTGAGTCTCTTTTCTGCTTGGCCGAATATACGGCTTCCAGATCGGTAACTGACGTCTACCCCAACAGGTGACTGCGTCAACGGCTCCAAGTGCTACAACTGCGGCGAGAACGGTCACTTCTCTCGCGACTGCCCCAAGGGCACCTCCACCGGCGAGAAGATCTGCTACAAGTGCCAGCAGCCTGGCCACATCCAGTCCGAGTGCCCCTCCGCCTAAGTGAGCTGCGGCATACAGACGACTACATAAGCTTACAACCGGCCTGGTACTGTCAAGCAGAAGCGTCTTGACTGCCATTGATGATGGAGGAAGGTTGTGGATTCGCGATGGGATGCGAAGTTGCGGCTCCAGTGTGGAGCGGTGCTTGGGACCTGTGGTGACGATGGTCGTCTGGATACCCCGGATCATGATGTGATGGCTCTTTCTTCTGCTCTTTGGAACTTGTTCTGCGACACCGGTACCGACACTTGGCGTCAATCGCCAAACTACGACTCGAGGAATGGCCCTGGTCTTCTGAGATGCAACGGGCTTCGGGGATTTTCGTCCACAAAAAAAAAATCGGTCTTGACTTTCATACGGACTTCGGCATAATGACTTGCTTCTTTACTCAAAAAATCGGGAACACATGGCACGGCAATGGACTCTGCACTCTAGTTGAGATAACCTACTCATAGGCTCTTGGTAGAGAAAATTGATGACACAAGCAACTTTGTTTGCATGACGGTTTGAAAAGAGGAAAGGAAAAGGTCCTTGGTCACATTGTTCGGCGCATGAATTACCGACGATGATCTAGTGCGATTTGCATTTACGCGTACGGAGATGTCAGCCTGCAATTTCCGAACGCTACCATACTTGGACTCCAGAAGATGACCATTGGTCATATCGTCTGGAAAAGCAGACAGACTGCTGGGGTAGCTGTGTACGACTTGTGTTCAAGGAACGCCGTGCCATTAGCTCCGGGATAGCATCGAGGGCCATTTGTGAATGTCTTCGCGAGTGACGTAACAACCAAAGCACACAACTCTGTATCTACTTGGACCCCGTTTCTCTCTAACCCACTCTATAGTAAGGTCTTCTACTCTGCCCTCTGGCAGTGCCAGCCCGGGTAGAGTTCAATATCAAAGGACCCACGTCTGCGTCCGCGCCTGGTTAATCAACGTTCCCATGAGCGGCCTCGGGATCACCACTGCTGTCAGTGACAGCCGCGTACCGCCCGCGCACTTCTGCCAGCCGCCTGCCAACGCTCTCACCACTCCAGTACGCTCCCGTCGCCGTGCCCAGCGCCACAAAAGGCGAGGTGTGCTCGCCTGCCAGCCACACGCCCCTGTCCTTCCAGCCCTCCCTCATCGTCTTGATGTCCTCGTCACCTCCCGCAGGCCGACCTGGAAGTTGCTGTAGGAGCCGTTGCCAGCGAGATTGTCGGCCAGCCAGGTGGTGGCGTAGCTGCAGACGGGCTGACAGTCCGGGGATTCGGCGGAGTAGTTGGGCAGCTTGGTGTAGTAAGGGCTGAAGAAGCTGTAGAGGAACTTGTCCCTCTCCTGCGGGGACGGGAGCGACTTGACGGTGCTGACGATGTGGGCTGACTGCGCGCCGTAGATGTAGAACAGGAGGGTCGGGTGCGATACTTCCGGTCCAAGAGAGGCAAGTTCAACAACCTCTATAGTCCAGCGGTTCGGGTTTGTGTCCGGTGCGAAGCGTGGAGAGAGCCACTGGGCAAAACCTTGGACTTTGCGGCCCCCGTTGTTTGGGTCCGGATCCAGCCAGAAGGCCTTGGGGAAGGAGATGTATACCTTCTCCAGGCAGCCGTAGCTGATGCTGTTGATGGCCTTGGTGAGGCTGGGTGGGAGGGCCGGCTCAAAGGCCTGGGGGTTCTTCTGTAGCCAGCCCAAGGGGCAGGTGACAACGAGCTCGTCGAAGGAAAGCTGAGTGCCGCTGGATAGTGTCACATTAACGGGCTCTTCCGGAGAAGGCCGTGCATGGATCCTGTGCACGAGGGTGTTGTAGTTGATCGTTGCACCTTTGAGAGCTGGTGCAGCGATATGGGCGAGGATCTTTGCATACGTGCCGGAGCAGTAGAGGTTCTCTGGGATTCTTCTTTCAGTGACGATTCACTGAATGAAATGAAGGGAGGACGACTTACCGCCTTCTATACACTCCTCTAGCCAGAAGAATTTCAAGCTCTGTCTCTCAACCGGGCTGCCTACAAACGCACCCCACAGGTCGGCCATCTGCAGCACAATGTCCCTTTTTCGTTGCCAGTTTTCCGTTGACTCGGGTATCAGCTCTTTCAGTGTCGCCTTGAAGAAGTCAAGCAAGCTCTCGCTGGGGTCGATCTCGGCTGAGTTCTTGTTCGAGTGCTTGAACGCCGCCTGGACAATATCCCACATCATCTCTGAGTATCTCTCACCATCTTTGAGATTGTAGAGCTCGCCGTCCTCGTTGAAGACATAAGAACCGGTATCCCAGCTCCCCAAGGCCGTGTGTGTCTCCTTGGCGATGTCTAGGATAGAATTGTTGTCGGTGCCGTGAACCCAGTTGGGACCTACATCAACCGTGATACCGTTGGCCAAGCTATCCTGGTATAATCGGCCGCCTATCCTGTCACGGCCCTCGAGAATGGTCACCCGAAAGCCGTGCTGGAGAAGAATATCTGCGCTGCGCAGACCGGCTAGTCCAGCACCGATGATGCCGACGTGGGGTGTCTGGCCATGCTGAGCGGATTCCTATTCTCATGATCAGCAATAAATCTCGCATTGTTTTGCGTAATCCCCCGGCAGTGGGAGCCGAGTTAGTAGAGAAACAGGTGTGGGTGGTACGAAGCCAAGTGCAGCCGCGAGCTTCAAGATGCTCATTGATGCAGCATAGTAGATAGTCTATAGGGCGTTGGCTCACCCTTGTCTTTGGACCCATGGTCTGCACCGGCCTGTCGAACTGGTTTGGGTTGAGCCCGGATATTGTTTGGCAGTGTATCGACTTCAGATCAAGATAGATCCGGGACATGTGCCGTAGGGTTGGACTAGTGCACGTCATTGAATAAGCATCCATGTTGGGCTGATGAACTGGAATCCACGAGGGGAAAGGTGTACTGAAATGAAAACAAGAATAACACGATGGGTTGTTGTCCGAAGCTGGCCATATGAAGGAGCGATGCTCCTACCGCGTGGTTGCAATACGTGTGGGAGGGCAGGAGGACAGCCGGGTAAAGTGCAGAAGGTGCGTTACAGCAGCAACACCAGACAGAGCACAATAGATTATTACAGAGCGTGGCGAGTGGATTTCAGCGGCGTCACTTGAGCAGCACGCAGAATCGAGAAATAATGACCTTGAACTTCAAGCACACAGTAGGGGGAAAACTGGCTGTCTTGAATCGTATCGTAGAGTGGAGGATCAAGTCACGGAGCGAATGAAGTGAAGTGTGCCATGCCCACGTGCAGCCTTGGGACGGCCAGCCAGCACTGCCGGCCCTGCGCCGCCCCGAAAGAGCACATTCAAGACATGCCCGCTGTCGATGAAGTCCCTGGTTTCTCACGGGAACATGTCCCATAAGGGGTCCAGCCCTGAATATCAGTGCCTTCTGCATCAGTCGATCCAGCCATCTCGGGTTCGAGACAATGCCCAGGCCATGCGGCCGAAAGAGCTGTCAATTGGAGCAGGAGCTGTAGCTGTGCTGCAATGTAGGCATCTGGAGTGGCGAAGAGGCGTGTAAGCGAGCAGGCCGGCCTCGACCGTGATCGGCAAAGAAAGACCAAGAAATGTCTAACACGTAGATCGGTCGATACTTTGGGTTGAGCCTGTCCAGATGTGGTTTTGCGCGTGGGGGAGCGATCTGGGGCCTAGACAAGGGCCGGAGGGTGGTGGGATGGGGATATGCATAGGCAAAACGCAGTATGGCAGGATTGGGTAACGGGCTTGGAAGGGAATTAGTCATGAAGCGTACCGTTGCTGGAGCACATATATGCGGCAGGGGATGGCCGTTGACCTGCGAAGGATGCGCATAGACCTCTGTTGGATGTCTATCTGGGAGAGCTCAGCGTCGGCCAGTCTGGTCAGCGTGCTGTGTAAGGCGAGCCGAGAAAATCGACAGGTGGGTCAGCAGGCAGGGTAGGTTATCTCAAGGTGGAGTCCGCAAAATGCTTGGATGCTCAAGTTTGTACTACCTGCGGCCCTCTAGATAGACAAGAACAAGCAGGGACTGTGTTCTACCCAACCTCCAGCAACGACGGATATAAGGAGGATGTCCGAGTACTTCGACGGCCTGCAGCCTCCTCTCCCCAAAGCATGAAAACTCAATTCGTCCTTCCCGAGCCAGGTTCGCAAGCTGTCGGTGGGACCACCCAGTCCGTCCTCGATCGACTCCACTCGACCACCACTCTACTGTAGCATACTAATAGCGGCAGGTCTGGTCTCCATGTCGAACCATCAGGGGGAAATTCCATCTTCGACAGAGCCACGATCCGGGGGACAGTGGACTAGTAATAAGGGGCCTTGCAAAGTAGTGTAGGAGCAGGGTGAAAATGCCCCACCACCGTTCACATGCCCGTAAGCAGGGGCCCAGCGCCGGTCTGGGGAAGCTCAGAGGGCGTGGCCAATGGGATGGAACGCAAATGCAATCCCCTGGGTCCCTTGGGACCAGCTTCCCCGGCCCAAGCACTGCCATCCATGCTGCCCCATCTCCAAGGGCCAGCTATCCAGTCTGAGCCGAGGCAACTTGGCTCATTCCGCAAGGGTCACCCGCCCGACCAAGGCCGCGCCATGCCGTCTGGTAATCAGCATCGTCTTCGTCCTGGCGGTGTCTGTCTCGTCCTCTACTGTAATTCTTCTCCTCCTTCCTCTCTTCCTCCTTACTTTTCTTCCATCCTCAGCCCTGTATACCGTCCATTGAGGAGCCAGCGCTGAACTCCTTCCTTCGTCCTGTCCCTCCTCAATCTTTTCCCACCATCAAGTCCCCCTAGACCCTCGGCCCTCGAGTGCCTTGTCTCGCAGAGCTCACAACAACTTCCACCATGGGATCCGTAGCCGCGCCAAAGACCTTCACCCGTGATCAGGTCAAGAAGGAGGGAAACACAGAGGACCAAGTGCTGTTTATCATCGACAGCAAAGTCTACGATGTCTCCGACTTCCTCGATGCCCACCCTGGCGGCGAGGCCGTGCTGCGCCAGGTCGCTGGCACGGACGCCACCGATGCCTTCTACAATCTCCACCGTCACGAAGTCTTGACTGGCAAGTATGCCGAGCTGGCCGTCGGTACTATCGAAGGCGAGAAGCCCCAGGTAGTCAACCCAGGCCCGGGGGAGCTTTCCAAGGTCCCTTATGCCGAACCACTTTGGTTGTCCGAACCCTTCAAGAACCCGTACTACAACGACAGTCATCGGAGGCTGCAGAAGGCCATCAGGAAATTCACCGATCTGCACGTCACTCCCGAGGCACAGGCGAAAGAGAAGGATGGCACATATATCAGCCAAGAGCTCATCGATCTCATGTCCAAAGAAGGCGTTCTTCACATGCGCCTCGGGCCTGGCAAGCACCTTCAGTCCGCGCCCTCACTGCTGGGTGGTGCGGTAAAGCCGGAGGAATTCGACTATTTCCACGATCTCATCATTGGCCAGGAACTGGTACGGTCGTCAGCTAGAGGCTTCCAAGATGGGAACATGGCAGGAATGACTATCGGGTTGACAGCTGTTCTCAACTTCGCCAACGACGAGGCTTTCAAGAAGAAGATTGCGGATGAGGTGTTCAGTGGCAAGAAGAAGATTTGTCTGGCAATCACTGAGGCTTTCGCGGGTAGTGATGTCGCCCGTCTGAGGACGACCGCGAAGAAGACGCCTGACGGCAAGCACTACATTGTGAACGGAACCAAGAAGTGGATCACCAATGGTGTCTTTAGCGATTACTTCGTTACTGGCGTGCAGACCGACAAGGGTCTGAGCGTTCTGCTCATCGAGAGAGGCGAGGGCGTCGAGACCAAGCTGATCAAGACGAGCTACTCTACTGCTGCCGGAACGACCTTTATCACCTTCGACAATGTCAAGGTGCCGGTGGAGAACCTGCTTGGCAAGGAGAACCAGGGTATCTATGTGATTCTCAGCAACTTTAACCACGAGCGTTGGACTATGTGCTGTAAGTTTGGCCAATATATGCGAGAGTTGCGAGCACCAGACTAACTCATCGTCTTCAGGCGGTACCGTACGATACTCACGGACCATTGTTGAAGAGAGTCTCAAGTGGGCGCACCAGAGATTAGTTTTTGGCAAGCGGCTCATCGACCAGCCGGTCATTCGTCTCAAGTTGGCCAAGATGATCGCCCTGGTCGAAGCTCATCAGTCGTGGCTGGAAACCATCACCTACCAGATGTGCAACATGCCTTACTCTCAACAGTCCAAGCACCTTGGTGGACCGATCGGCTTGCTCAAGATGAGCGTTACGCGGATGGCCCACGAGATTGCTGATGAATCAGTGCAGATCTGGGGTGGGCGAGGGCTGACACAGTCAGGTATGGGCAGGACAATTGAGAACTTCAACCGAGGGTACAAGTTTGATGCCATTCTGGGAGGCGCAGAAGAGGTCTTGGGCGACCTCGGTGTTCGGCAGGCCATGAAGTTCTTTCCAAAAGAGCGATTGTAAATTATCAGAGGAATGTAGTCTATACCTAGGTATTGATCAGGATCTAGATTATAGATACTCTTTTATCTTTGGCGCGTGTATGCTGATTATTTTCAGGACCATTCGACGTGGTTGACACCAATGAATACGAATCTTGGTCAAGTTGGGTCCCTTCAGATATCACCAAGCACACGCATCTACACGGTTGACTACCTGCGAACGTAACCCCCACCGCTGCTGACTCAGCATGTGAATGGGAGCGGAACGATGCAAGTCATTACTGCCCCACCAAACTTTTGAGTCGCCCGCGGTGCGCTTGAGTCACCCGCGCTCTTTCGAAAGTTCAATCCTCAGAAGCTGATCTTACTTCTTCTGCACGCCACCCTCTTGACCAATTTGCGACAGAGAAAGTCACAATCAAGTTTTTGTGTGAGAACGACTCCTTTAAAGACCAACCCACCGATCCTACGCCAAATACCCACGCAAACACCTCGCGCCGGCTGCAACGAGCTTGCGGCCATGGCAGCACCACAAAAGGGACATGCGCCGAACCTCGAGAAGTTCCTCAAGTCGCTTAAGGGGCGACCGCTGGATGCTTCGATAGAGTCCTTAATATCGTATGTATATCGCAAGTCCAGAGCTGTCTCTCAAAGCTACAGCTAACAAACAACTCCCTTCCCTGCAGTCTCCTCAAGCGGAGACAAATCACCGGTGCCGACAAATGCGCGATCGCAACAGCCCACATCCTCCTCCACGTCGTTGCAAAGTCAAAGTGGACCGGTGTCGACCAGCTCCTTGACCGGGTCGAGAGGGTTGGCCGGAAGCTCGTTCTCGCGCGGCCTCAAGAGCTGGTTATTGGCAACGTTGTGCGCCGCGTCTTGGGTCTCATTCGCGACGAGGCCGAGGAGGACCGCGGCGGCAATGGCGATGACTCCATGTCTGACGTTTCGGCCCTACCTGGTGACGAGCCGAATGTGGCCTCTGCAGATGCCTCGCCCCCGTCTCGACCAGTCCCTCGCATGGGCCTGCTCACTTCCACCAGTTCCTTCCACGCCCCGCAGTCCATGTTCAATCTGCTCGCCAACTCGCCCAAGCTGGATAGGAGCTCGGCAGGGTCGCCCTTTGGAAGGGGCTCTGGCGCTTCCACCCCCATGTCACACGCGCAAGTCGCCAACAACTCGGCTCTACGTTCGGAGGTCATTGATGGTATTGAGGAAATCAAGGACGAGATCAGTCAGGTGGATGACCAGATTGCAAGCTTCGCCGAGGTCCAGATACACCCGGGGCACCACGTCTTGGTCTACAAGCCAAGCCCAACAGTCGAGAGGTTCTTGATTGCGGCCGCGAAGAGGAGGAAATTCACCGTCTTCATCGCCGGTGCAACGATTCCGAAGGCATCTGAGGAGTCTCCATACGCGACGTTGCGCAAGCAGCTGAGCAAGTTCGGTGTAAATACGATCAACATCTCGGGAAGCGGCATCACTGCGTACATGGCAAGTATCAATGTGGTGATCCTCGATGCTCAGGCTGTGACCGCGAACGGCTCAGTCATCGCTGTCGGAGGCGCTGCAGTGGTCGCAAGGGCTGCCCGCGAATATAGCAAGACAGTGATCGTGCTGGGCGGCGTGTTCAAGCTCTGCCCTGAGGACGAGCCAGACCTGGATGCACTCGTCCAGGTCGGAAGCCCCATGGACCTGGTCGGTTACGACGGCCACATGGTCGACATTGATGTCGAGACCACAACCTCCGAGTACATTGTTCCAGACTTGGTCGACATCTACATCACAAACCTGTGAGTGCACAACAGTCCTAAGTTTGCGCTCGCCAACACTCCGCTGACTATCGACCTAGGGGACCACATTCTCGAGACCATCTCCAAGGTGTTGTTGCTGACCACTATAAAATCGAAGACGTGGACTTCCTGATCCAGTGACATCAGTCATCATGAGACAAGGCAACGAAGGGCACGAACTGCAGATTGGACGCGACAGCTTTACAAACCATCTGCGGTTTCTGAACATTTTTATTGGCCTGGACGGAGAACACGCGCGGCATTGGAAGCCCAGAGAATGCTTTAAAGGTTCTACAAGTCCTTTGCAACATCCCTCTAGCCTTCAGAGCCTCGGGTGCTGCCTTGCGGGGCCGCGTCAGCTCGGACTTAGCAGGCAGCTGGTTGCGGTAGGAGTCATGACGGGGGTGGGGGAAGGCCAAGAGCTATTGGAGAGCTGTGACGCGGGCGAACCGCCCGGCCCACTGCTTGGTGTAAGACGGCCTAAATCCCTCCTGGGTGTAAAGCCTAAGCGAACGGCCTCCACCAAAACAGGGGCCTCCCATACGCGGATGCACGCAACTGCAGGTTGTCCAGTGAGCTTATCGAGACATCATGGGGTCCTTACACGGCTCGGTGCCGAGGAACGACGACGTGAGGCATGCCATCCGAGTTGGTGAGGGCTGTGTGACGGCGCAGTCATAGTCCACTGAACAGGACAGCAGCGGGGCACAACATCTGATTGCAGTAGTTGAAGAAAGGACGACCCCTCCAAGCTGAGTTGTCATCCACGCCATCAATTCCAAGACTAATTCCTTCAACATTCCCGAATCGCCGGTTCCCATCAGTTTTCAAGTGACTTGTGCAGAGCTCTTCTCGGACCTGCCATTCTCAACTTCCATTTTTATCGACAAATCTTGCCACATCAACTCATCTATCCTCTCACCGAGACCAGCCCATAGTAATCTTTGCCCTTAACCCATACCAGCACGCAACGCCATTACGAATCCAAGATGACGTCGCACCTGGACGACGCGCCAGACATCCCTCCGCCTCCATATTCTGAGACGGACATATATTCCAACCCAGATTCCCATGGACACTCTCCAGTACTGGCTCAGTCACAGACCCTGCCTGCGCACCATCGTACACTGTCCCACAACAATTCCAACAGCGTTCCCGTGATGGATGATGCCTCATCAGCCGCGTCTACAAGCGAGGTGATTTACACACCACCGCTGAGTCCCAGCAGCCCACAGTCCCAGTCCTTCACCTCAGGCAACAACAACTTGCTCAGTCCGAGACATCCGGAACAGCAGCAGAACACTGTCTCTGTCTCGTCAGAGCATTTGACCAGCGCATCCGCGGAGGCTTATTTCGATTCAAGACCGGTACCGCTCTCGTGTGACGGTAATGAGCAGCAGGTTAGGCATACCATCGTCGTCAAAGCGGATAGCTCACCGGACGATTTCCCCTACCGTCGTGACTGGGCCCGCCTAGACGTCAATGAAGAGGACTGGCAGACTTTCCTCAACTACCTGCTGCCAAATCACGCCGCGCAGCGCAACGAAGCCGTCATCGACCGGAAGCTCCGCGCAGAGGGCATGGACACGGACGATGCAAAGTCTGCGCGCAGCAACAAGAGCGAGAAGAGCGCCGCGAATACTGCTGTCGAGGAGAGGACGCCTGTTGAGGCGCAACTCGACCAGATCCGCACGCCTGACCTGCAGCGAAGACAGAATATTGAGGATACTGTGCGGGAGTGGAACGATGGCTTCTTCGGCCCGCGTGGGATGCTCATTAACGTTGACGAGAGCGCAACACCAAGCGAGAATTATCGCGTGCCAGGCGCCTGGGACCAGTCTTTCAACAACGGCAGTCCCGACTTCGCGACTGCTGGAACTCCGCCCGTCGACCGGCGAGCAAACAACAGTGGTCCGTCCGGCCCTCCCCGTCAGCCGGACAATACTGGCCGCTGGCGGCGATTCAACCCTATCAACAGGTTTGATAACTCGTCTAGTGGCCTCAACATCCCAGGTGTTTCTATCGACTCTAGCGGTGTGTCTATCGGCAGGAACTTTGTTGCCAATCCAAATGGCCTAAGGATTGGCGGCGTGGTGATGGACAACAATGGTGTTAGAATCGGCGGACGTGATATCTTAGGAGGTGGCCGCACGGCTTCGCCACAAACAGCACAGCCGACTGCACCTTTTGCACCATTCGCACCTCAGCCGCCCATGCCTCCTCTGCCCCCGGGATATTCTCACGACCAGCAAGCATACTACGCACAGATGCCGCCTCCGCCGCCTAGTTTCCCCACTCCGCCTCCTCCGCCCCCGCCTCCGGCTTCGGGATTTGACACGCGAGACCACGACGAGTACCCTGATGAGAAGGCTGAAGTTCGTACTCGAGGCCCAGGCAGACATGGTGACCACCATCATGGCCATCACCATGGACGCGGACATGGACGTGGACGTGGACCCGGGCGCTTCAGCAACGGAGTTTCACACCGTCACCGATCGCGGTCCAGTTCGTCGTCGTCATCAGACAGCAGTAGCAGCTCTTCATCGTCGTCTGGGTCCGACTCCGATACGCTATCGATCGGATCGCTTCCCGACTATGACGACCTCAAGGACAGCCAGATCCCGGTCGCGAAGACCTACCTGGAGGAATGGCTCTCGCGGCCCGAGAACTTCGTCACCCGCGAGACTGTCAAGGAGGCCAGGGAGGAAATCAAGGCCGCCCGGAAGACCGCCCCGCAGGACATCAGCGACCCCGCAGCGCGGGAAGCCATGCGCCAGCAGGTGCGGGGCATGATGGGCCAGTGGAGGGTCCTCAAGAGGGAGCAAAGGAGCGCGAGGAGGCAGAGGAAGAGGGACAGGAGGGCTCGCCGCAGGGCGGAGAAGAAGGAGCGCCGGCAGGCCAGGCGCGAAAGGAAGCGTTCCAGGCGGGAGGCCAGGCGGGAGGGGAAACAGGCGAGGCGCAGCGGCCGCCGCGATCATGATCATGGCCACGGTGCTGGCCACCACTCTCATGGCGGGCCGGGGCCCTTCGGCCATCACGGAGGACCAGGCCCGTTCGGCCCGGGCCATCACGGTGGGTTCAACCCATTCGGAGGCAGAGGGGGTCCATTCAGCCTCGGTGGACGGGACTTCCCAGGCGCGGGCTTTGGCCCCGGCGCCCGCCAGCGACGAGGCGGCGGCGGCCCTCAAGGGCCTTTCCAGACTGGGCCGCTGCCGTGTGGCGGACGGGGCGGTAGTTTCGCGGCCGGAGGGCAGGGCAACTGGGGAGACGGGCTCACACGCAGCATGGCGGACTGGGGGCGGCGGATGGGCGACTGGGGCCGTGATTTCTCGGCACCGCTCCCCGGTGGGGCTGGGGCGGCGGACAACCAGCCCAGGTTCCCCGGGGCCTGGCCTGCCGATGTGGAGGACCACCAGCAGGACAAGGAAGCCGCCGGCCGGGACGGACAGCAGGAGGTCGGGATCCAGCTCAAGGATAATGACGCCGGGCCGCACGCTGCCTCGGCGGCGATGTACAGCTCCCTCGAGGCCAAGAAGATGGCGCTTCAGGGCAAGAGAGACGCCCTCGCGAACTTCACAGGCGATTCCCAGGGGGAGGACAGTCAGGGCAACAAGCAGGGCGCGCCGACCCTCGTCGGCATGCTTGCTGAGATTGAGGAGCTCGAGAAGGCTGTGAGCAAGCTGAGCCTGGAGGCTGATGAGCAGTTTGCGAAGGAGCTGTATGCTCTTGAGGACTAGTGGCTTGAACGGGCTGGTTCTCTTTCTTGGATAAGAGTAACAAGATAAGAAGACTTCAACTCTCTAACGAATAATTACATTATCATTACATCCGTGAGGACCACATCGAACAGTCGATTCTAGGTTTACACAATATTGATAACCAGAATTAGTTGTTTATCTGCCACTTAATATTCTGGGTGAAGTCGGCTCGCGGCTGGAAAGGGTGGATAGAAACCTTCTAGTAAAAGCTGTGTTCGATGTAAAACGGCCCTCGCTGGTGCTGCCAAAATCGCCCCATCCCTATGTACCCACTCTAGAGTAGAACACCTTCCATACCTTGCGAGACACGACCAGCATTAAAGCCCCTTAATATGTCAAGTGAGGAAAATGGATTTGAAATGCTTTATGACCCGTTCTTGGCCATTTTTGTCTACCCTTTTGCTTCTATTCCAAAACCCACTTTTGCGCCATGCCTTCAGATCATCTGGATGCTGCTACCAGTCATAACATATAGCCTGCTCCATAGTCCCGTCAAGCAAGACCTTGAATGCGGTGCCGGAGATGCAGCCGTTTAGTTCTTTTATGCGCTGTCATCACTGACCAGCCGCCCAATCCCCTTCCCCTCACCATCAATCCTTATGGAGGACGTGCAGACTGAGTGCTTCGTAAACGGCCAGCACATATATCCCGACTCTGTGCTCATGAGCCCTGTTTGCTCTCAACCCTCTCCACCAGCTCACCCACGCCCAGGCCCCTCCCGACCTTGACCTTCCTCTTCTCGTCCTTGCCGCCCTCCGCGGCCGCGCCGCCGGCACCGTTCTTGGCCTTCTTGGAGGAGCCCTTGCCGCCGCTCTTCTTGTTTGGGTCGCTCCCCACGTCGCCGACGGCGTCGCCCTCGTCAACCTCCTCCGAGTCGGAAGAGTCCCTCTCCTCGCGCAGCTGCTCCCGGATCGCCGACAGGTCCAGCTTCATTCCGAAGGCGTCCTCGCCGTCGGCGTAGTACTTGGCTCCGTCTTCTCGCGCTGGAAGCCGAGCGTCTTCTCGTACAGGTGGATGGCGGCCTGGTTGGACTCGCGCACGTGCAGGGAGACGTAGTGCGCGCCGAAGGTCTCGACCATTGCGATCTCTGTTTATGTTGCGTCTTGCGTCAGCACTTGCGTGTCCTTGGAGAGAGAGTGTGTAGTTATGTTCCCCCCAGCTGCTGCTGCTGCTCCGCCCTCTCTTCCTGCTCGGGGATGGGCAAACGTACGGCTCTGCCGCATCAGCTTCTCAGCTATCCCCAGCTTCCTGTGTGTGCGCATCACGGACAGGCTGGTGATGTGGCCGTGCTGGACGCCGTCTGCGGGCTCCTCCTCCATCTTGGCCAGGACATATCCGACGATCTTAGGGTAGTCGTAGGGGGTCTTCTTGGGGCGGGCGACGTCGACCGCGACGAAACTAAGCTGGGGCCATGACAGTGCGTGGTAGAGGTAGTATTTGAGGAAGTAGTTCTCGGGCAGGTTCTCGAGGTTGGCGTGTTGGATCAGAGGCAGGTCTGACGGTTGGAGGAGGCGGATATCCATGGCGGGTGATGAAATGCTGGCTGGGCAATCGGGATTACACTACGGGACGGAATATTCGGTGGTCAAGCTCTTGCAGATCTGAGAGGTTGGGTGGCGGCTCAGAATTGTCTGCAGCGTGATGTCGCAAGTGGCATGTGGATTATCTCGACGTGGAATTTGACTGCACTGTCAGGCCCGTCGAAAAGTAGATGCTGTAAAGCGCATGGAGGGGCTCTGGAGCTGCAAAGTACCCAGGTACCTTCCAGGTAAGCCGGACACGGCGCATGTTGTACCTAGGTACCCGGTGCCCTCCAAGATAGGTGCTTGTCGGCCGGCAAACGGAGCATCCTAAGCCGACTGGCGCGCATCTTTAGCGGGGTTGGTGGGACAAAGTGACCCTGAAGGACGGCTCCAGGGCCTGGACAGCGGGGAAATTGGGGCAAGCAAGTCAAACTCACCTCGGTCAAGCGGGACATAGCACACCTGTTTGGGCAGCTCTAGTCGGGATATACAGGTGGAAGAACTACTGGGGAGGGAGCAGAGGTCACGATGGGGGCAGCATAGGGCCTAATTTCGGTATTATTCTGTTGACAGTCCCCGTTCCATAGTTATATCTACCGAGAGCTGATCCTACTGCCTTTTTGTCTTCTACTTGCCCCCCAAGACAGGTCGAATTGAGAGAAACTGAATCAACGGAAATACGTAAAGACATTTACAAACACAATCACTCGCACACAACAAGGTCCTCGATACTCACCACGCGTAGATTTCAAAATGGCCGGCAGATTGTTGGCAGGAAAGGTGGGAATAGTAACAGGGGCCTCGAGAAGTATGCCACCACCACTCACACTTCCTAACGAAACAATCACCACTGACACCCCACAGGCATCGGGGCTGCCATTGCTGAGAATCTCGCTTCTAAAGGGTGTAACTTGGTCCTCAACTACACCTCCAAATCATCTACAGCCCTCACGAAAGAGCTCTCCAAGAAGCTCGAGGGAAAATATGGAATCCAAACCGTCGGCGTGCAGGCAGACCTGGGCACTCCCCAAGGACCATTAGCCCTTATCGAGGCCACCAAGAAGCACTTCTCTTCCTCGCCGCCAACGCCGCAGAAAGACTACAAGTTCCAGCTCGACATCATAGTCAACAATGCCGGCGTCGCAAAGAACGACAAGCTGGCCGACATCAAGATTGACGACTTCGACTTCACCTACAAGGTGAACGTCCTCGGGCCCCTGCTTCTCATGCAGGCAGCCGCACAGTACCTACCGAGGGACCGCTCCGGCCGCGTCGTCAACCTGTCCTCCATCAGCTCCGACTGCGGCTTCCTGGGCCAGTCGGTCTACGGCGGGTCCAAAGCTGCTATGGAGGCAATGACGCGGGTGTGGGCGCGCGAGCTGAGCGAGCGCGCTACCGTCAACGCTATCAACCCGGGCCCCGTCGAGGGTCCCATGTACGCCGCCAACAGCGACGAGTTCAAGGCCGCCATCAAGGGGTGGATCGAGCACGCGCCCCTGATGAGGGCGCGCGAGGGCGTCGACGCCCCCGAGGTCGTCGAGGCGGCCAGGGCTGAGGGCGGGAGGCCGGCCTACGTGTCCGAGATCGCGGGCATCGTGGGCATGCTGTGCACTCCCGATGCTGCCTGGTGTACGGGCCAGGTTGTCTGTGCCAACGGCGGCTTGTTGATGAAATAGACGGGCGGAGGCGCCTGGAGAAGGGGGGAGGGAACGAGAGAAGGACTTAGCATCCTGGAGACCGTTGGGATCAACCGTTTTGTGAATTTGTATTCCTCATAGAGTCGGAAGAAGCTTCAATTCCGTGCGCACTTGCTTAGGACTATTGTTTGCTGTTCCACCGGAGCTACACGCAGTTGGGCTTGCCTCGTTTCAAGTGGTTGAACAGAGCAACGTGTAATTTTTTATGAGGCAGACCACTGTGTGATTGAAACATGTTTGCTATTTGAAAAGCTCCCGTTTTCCTTGTGATGAGTGTATTATCTGTCCCGCCGACCAATATAATGGGTGCCGAGAACGGAGCCGAGTCCCGGGCCCGGGTCCGGCTGCTAGTGGCAGATTCGGCGGTGCCTCAGTCCCTGTATCTCAGAGCTTTGTAGGTGAACTATTTTGAACGGAGATTCCCAACTCGTGCTGACTTGTCGAACCAACATATCAAGCCAACGCGATAAACAAGCTCTTGATTCAATCGCCTCTGTTCAGATTCATTGACTCATCCCTTGATTTGCCATACCAACGCATCAGACAGCACCAGATCTTGACCAATTGTCCAGTCAGCCTCAAATAAAGGAAACATGGCCGCCAACGACGCCTTCGACGACCTGCTCAATCTGGAGGAGGAGTTCTACTCGGAAGGCTATGCACAGGGCGTGGCAGACGGCGACCGCGCAGGGCGCATCGAGGGCCGCGCGTTCGGGATCGAGAAGGGCTTCGAGAAGTTCGTCGAGGCGGGCAGGCTGCACGGCAAGTCCATCGTCTGGGCCAACAGGCTGCCCCAGGCAAAACAGCAGCCACGGGGTGCGGCCGCTTCTCAGTCCTCTGCAACATCGCCTCCGGGGGATGACAAGCAGCAGGCGCTCCCTGTGCTGAGCGGCGGCGGCGCGAGGCTGGAGAAGAACATCGTCACGCTGCACGCGCTCGTCGAGCCTGACACCCTGTCGACCGACAACACGGACGATGCCGTCAACGACTTTGACGACCGGGTCAAGAGGGCGCAGGGCAAGGTGAGAGTCATCGAGAGGCACGTTGGGGAGGACGCCGGCCTCAACGCTGCGGCCAAGGACGACAGTACCACCAAGGCTGCTGCTAGTGGTGATCAGGCCTCGTCGTCGGCTGGTCCGCCATCCAAGGAAGCCGTGAGCTTCTGAGAGATCCCTGGTATCGCGTGTTTGTATTTGTGAGAACAGATTTACAAGACGATCCCACACGGCAAAGTACGGCAGCACTCGAACCGCCGCGCTGGCTAGAAAGTTGTTGCGACAACCTGTGTGGTCGAACGCATACATGGCAGTCAGGACGTCCCCAGTCTCTACCACAAATTCACGTCGGGATTGGCAGAGCACCTCCATTTACTGTGTGCCGGGTCAACTCCTAGAACGGCATCTTGCCTTCCTCAACACCACTCCACATGTGCCAGCGCCTATGCGTTGTACCGCACGATAGCCCCAGAGTTGTAAGTGGAAACATCGGCCATCAGACTTATATGTCTCTGACTGACCTGTGCTCAGCAACGTGGGCGTCTCGGCTACGGCACGGGGCCTGGTGGCAATCACAGACTGTCTAGATATGTTGGATGGACACCTCGGTCTTTGAATACGCATGACCTTGAATATTACGAAGGTAACCTGTTGCCTCGCACTTGATTCATGGGCGGTCGACGTGTTTTCAAACGTAGACAACACCACACCTCAGCTCCCATGCAGTCAGCCGTGAAAATCAAATTTCAAGGCTGTCCATAGAAGCCTTTCTCAAATTAGTATTCTCAGGTGTGACCTCCTGTGACGCTCCCTGATCTGAATGTCTATGCCATTGTTTCGTAGCTTTAAATGCGTTTGTACATTGTCCTGGTTCCCGATTCCTCCCCCGTCGCCAGAGATCTAGTGAAACGTCCGGCAAGGGTACTTCTCGGGGTAAGCCTGCTCCTCTGTCACCTCCCACGGGTGCACATCCCACGAGCCCTTCTTCAGGCTCTGTCCGCTAAGCAGTGGTGGCATTCCGTCCACGAGGAGCTCCTTCGCTGCTTCCACACCCTTCTCCTCGAAAACCTTCGCGAGGCCCTTCTCTTGGCCCTCGGCCTCGGCCGCCACGAGCGCCTTACTACCCTCCTCGCCGATCAGCTCGACCTTGGGGTTCGCGGCGTTGCCGACCGTCAGCAGGGCGACGGCGTCGGCCTGGCCCACGACGGACATGCGGGGGTAGTTGCGGCGGGTGTTGCGCTTCCAGTAGGGGTTGTCGGCGATGTCGCCGGCCGGGGCGGTGACTGGGTCGTCGTAGGTGAGAGGGTCTTGGCCGCCGGGCGTAGGCCAGCGGAAGTGAGGGTTGAGGGGCACGCCGTTGGAGCGCTCGGGGTCAATCGCGAGTGAGCGGCGGATGCGCTCCCAGATGCCGACGGATTGGAGGGTTTGTTTCTGCAGATGGCGAGGAAGGGCGTGGGTTAGTTGGCGATGTAGGCGACGATGGTTGATTGGGGACGTGTGGGCGACCACGGCACGATTGACTTACTGTCGAGAGCTTCATGGCACCGCCTGCGGCGATTTTCGCTACAGCCTTTGAGGCCATGGTGCAGGCGTTGTGTGAGAAGCGGAGGACTGTGGGTGGTGATTGTCGAATGTCTAGCAGGCGCAAGTCGGCCTTCAGAGGAGCGTCACTACCAGAGCAGACAGAGGCGGCTCTCAATTGAAAGGGACGGGATTGGCTGGAGCGGCCGGAACGGTCCGGGGTTTAGCCGGGGCGCTCCTTCCGCCTGCATACAAAGCATGCAGCAGCAGCTGCAGCACGCACCCAGCCAGCCAGCCTATGTATGGGATATACCGTACAACTTCAGAGCTGGTCTGAGCTCCCGGGACGGTAACAAGCTCCGCAACACATTCGCCCGGGCAGTCGTCAGTTCAGCCCTCTCTCTTGAGCTTACGGCTGATTGCTTTGAAATCCCTCACCCTCCGCCTAGTCTGCATCACCTGCATCATCTGCATCATCCATCAAGCTACTAATCACATCACCAAGATAGCCATACAGATTGACTGCAAGAGATGCACACTCCATCACACTCTGCCACATGCCACAGACCTGACGCTTCCTGATGAGCTGTCTCGGATGAAACTCTCAGGTGTGGCATTGACGAGGATCAAGCTAGAAAGTGGTTGCTGCCCATCATTGTTACCTGTCCCGTCGATGGGCGGCTACTGTGGTCTAGCGACCCGAGGCAGACATGCGCAGTGACCAGGGGCCGCAGGAGAAGAAAAGAAAAAAGAGGGCTGGATCTCGGACCGTAAAGTCGATTGAGCCTTAACAGAGGTCGGAGGAAAAGCTGGGGAAGATGGGCGATTCAGGGGAGCCGGAACTCTCTGAGGGCTGATAGTGTGAGAGCTTCCCCCATGTCGCGGGTCTGATTGGTCGGAGCTCGTGCAAGACGACATCCCATCCTACCCTCGTCCTCCTTATATTGACCTCCCATCCCGTCCCCCGTCCCCATCTCCACCTCGTCCAGCACTTCTTCCTCCTCTCTCCCAGCCTTTGTTTGTTCCTGTTTTCTTTTCTGTCCATCTCTGCGTCTCTGTTGCATCCCAGCTCCACCCACAATCTCCTGGTCGCACGCTGAACGCGTCTTCCACCTCGTGCTCTCGTCACCCAGCCGCCTGCACGGCACTTGACTGTTTCACCACTTCTCCGCAGATTGTATGTTCCTAGCCACTTAGGGAGCTTCAATCATGGCCTCCCTCTGTATCCGATGACCGTGATTGTCATCGAGGTGAAAATCCTGGCTAACACCCCTCCCAAGCGCCCCTGAGGCCATCCAAGCGTGAAAATGCCCGTTGAACTACGCAAGCGCAAGGCTCCCGCTCCGCCCCCGGAGCCCCCGGCCAAGAAGCCTTCCAAGGTGGCCAAAGCTGCCTCCAAGGTCAAGGAGGCTGTCAAGGGCAAGCCTGAGACTAAGCCCAAGGCCAATGGCGCAGCAGCAGCCAAGGCGTCCACCCCTGCCAAGAAGCCCGAGGTTGGCGACACCATCGACCTGGCTTCATTCGGCGGCGAGATCACTACCAACGACGGCGAGACCACGACGCTGGCTAAGCTCGTCGAGCAGTCCGGCTCCGGTGTCGTGCTTTTCACCTACCCCAAGGCATCCACACCAGGCTGCACAAATCAGGCCTGTCTGTTCCGCGACTCTTATGAGCCGCTTACCGCGGGAGGCCTTGCCATCTACGGGCTTTCCAGGGATTCCCCCAAGAGCAACACGACCTTCAAGGAGAAGCAGAAGCTCCCTTACCCTCTTTTGTGCGATTCTAGTGCGAGCCTCATCGGGGCCATTGGCCTGAAGAAGGCGCCCAGCGGCACCCAGAGAGGCGTGTTCGCAGTGGACAAAAAGGGCAAGGTGCTCCTTTCTGAGCCCGGCGGACCAGCTGCAACGGTGGATGCTGTGAAGAAGCTGGTGGACTCGGGGTCTGCTAACGGCGGTGCTACTGAGGAGAAGGCGGAGAAGGAGGAAAAGAAGGATGACGAAGAGACCAATGGTGCCGCAGCTGAGGAGGCTAAAGCCGAGGGGGCGGAAGAGAAGAAGGACGAGTAAGAAGGATCAGATTCTGTAAAGTCCCGGGTATCGATGGGCCTGTGATGGTCCTCGGAAAAGTGACAATGTTTGATTGGATTTTTCAAGAGAAAGCGTTACTGCTTGAGGCGATCGCATTGTTATTATGTCTTGTTTTCTGGGGAAGAACACGAGTGATGGGTGTTTATGATGTACACTATTATGCTACGAAGGGAGACTGAGCATCACACTGGAAGTCCGAGACCGCCAACCGTGCTCAGCCATGGTGCTTGTCCTGCTTGGATCTCTGTATCTGCATATGTTACTATCCAGCAATAGCGCAACAAGCACACTACTGCTGGTGGCAGCTGTTTTCTGATGCCAAGGGACCAAATCGATTTGGAATCTTTGAATTCGGTGAACATCCTAGTCCAGTATTTTTGAAGAGCGTGTTTCGATAGGTACTCAGTCTCATTTTCTTGAGCCGTATGAAGCTAGGGGTGGGTGGACTTGTACGCGTGGACTCGGCCCCACCAAGCTGCAGCTCCAGCTCCCGCCGGCTTGCCTTACACCACAAGGCTGCGTGCGATCTTCCAATCTCCCCAGAGCTTGAGGGCCACCACCCATTTTCCACACCAGACATCTGCGCGCAGTCTCGGCCACCGGAAGATCGGCTTTGTCTGGCACGAGCGTGTGTGCCTGGATATCCACAGCATGGCAGCGCCGCCCCCACCTCCGAAGGGCGGCGGTCTGTCGCTTTACGCCAACCTGCTCAACCCGAAGGCCGACGCCCAAGCCACCGTATCCGGTGCGCCGGTAGTTTATGACAATGCGAAGAAGGAGGACGCTGCTGTCAAGAAGGAGATCAATCAAAGTAAGCAAAGACTCCATACACGCTTCCATATACGCCGGGAGGCACCGTCTTGCATTGCGATTTTGTCGACTCTGTGAACCTTAACTAATTGCATTCCTCCTCTCAGCCTTGCGATTTCAGCCAATACGTCGACCACAAATACCTCAGAAGAAAGTGGCCAAACCGGCTTTTCCCAAATCCATACCGCCATCATCCACAGCCCCAGATAAAGCAAAATCAAACGACGGCAATGTCACCAGGGACGCGACCGCGACGCCGCCACCTACCCAGGGAGGGCCTCCTGCCCAGCGCAGCACGCTCGCCGACTGGGCCGCGACCGAGGAGGACGAGTACATGTACGGCACCGCAGCCACCGAGAAGCGGCAGCGCGGCGGGCGCAAGGCCAAGAAGAAGAAGCAGCAGAAGCAAGGGGACAGCCAGCGCCAGGAGACGGACTGGGACGAGATCTACGACCCTTCGCGGCCGACAAACGTGGACGAGTACATGAGGAGCGACGAGCGCATACGGGAGGTGCAGGAGTGGAAGGCCGTGCTGTATGCCCACCGTAGGAGGAGGAGAGGGAGCTCCGACAGTGACGAGGACTCGGACGCCGATGAGAGGCCTGCCATGGGTAGTAAGTTGGTTCACCAGCACTCAGGTGGCTACAACATTGCTAACACGACTGGTCCCAACAGATCAATTCGCTCCTCCGGGAGACTACTCCTTTGCACCGCCGCCCATGTCACCTTCTCGCGCTTCACCAGCTGCTGCCGCTCCCGTGCCAGACGACGCAACAGGTGACGATGCCTACGCCCGCCGCCTCGCGTTGTCAGGCATGGGTGCCGCCGCCGCCGCCTCCTCCTGAAGCATCTTCAGCTCCTCCTCCACCACCATCACCACCACAAGATGCCGCGACCATCTCTCGCGGACCCGTCCGCTATGAAGCCCCTCCTCAGCCATCCACGCAACAGCAAAGAGACGATGATGACGACGACATGGACGTAGATAACATCGACCTCCCGCCCACCGGCCTAGGGGCAGCCAACAACAACACCACCTCCGACCAGCCCATGTCCGACGCCGAAGCCGCGGGCGACACGTCACGCTCAAGCCGGCCCGGGCAGAAGGGCTTCGCCCAGCGCCTCATGTCCAAGTACGGGTGGACGGCCGGCAGCGGCCTCGGCGCCGACAGCAGCGGCATCATCAACCCGCTGCAGGTCAAGGTGGAAGCGGCGCAAGCGGCCGGACGCCGAGGGCGGCGGCTACGCGGACCCGGCAAACCGGGCACGTATCATCGGCGGCAAGACGGCGGCCCCGGCCAAGGGCTCAGACTCAGGCCACGCCGCCGAGGGGGACAACGCGAGCAAGTTCGGCGCCATGTCCGAGGTGATCGTGCTGCAGAACATGCTCGAGAACATGCCGAGCCTGCAGGAGGAGGTCGAGGACGGGCTGGGGCAGGAGATCGGCGAGGAGTGCGGCGACAAGTACGGGCGCGTCGAGAGGCTGTACATCGACGTCGCGGGCCGGCAGGTCTTTATCAAGTTCACCGACCAGGTGTCCGCGCTGAGGGCAGTCAACGCGCTCGAGGGCCGCGTCTTTAACGGGAACGCCATCGCCGCGCGCTTCTGGGACACCGAGAAATTTGAGAAGGGGGAGTACAGTTAGACCGGACAGAATGGCTACTGGGGGGATGGATGGATGAACTTGGCAAATATGTTGGGTAATGATACTGTCGGTTGTGGATATGTATATACAAGACATGGAGTTGCTAGCAGCAGCATCCTTTTATTGGCACATACGCAAACCACAGCAGGTGAACCTCACACCAGGCACATAGCGAAGGCAGAGAAGTGTGAAGGGGATCATTGAGATGGATTGGCGGGACTCTTGCTAGAAATGTTCAACACCTATCAAGACCAAAATGAGCCATTGGCTGGCTATCTTCTGGAAGCCCCATCCTCCATCTGTGTTGTACGATCTCTTGTCAACCCCCTCCAGGATTTTTTGTTTGGTGTACTCCGCCTCTCGATCCATCCGAGACATTATGCAACATGTGCTGCAGTTTCCTCCATATCCAGCTCAGCCAGCTGCCCCTGCAGGATGAGAAGCAGGCCAAGGAGGACTCGGTCCACAATCTTGACACATTACAAGAGAGCCATGATGCGTATTCGAACAGGTCGGGGGTAAAGGAGAAATTATTAGTCTAAGGTGGTTTTTTGTTCCCGGTGAACATAACAAGCTTGACTCCGTATTCCGCGCGCGAGTGTGATGACTGTGCATGCTGAGACTAAAAAGCAACGAGACTGCGGACAAAGGACAGATCCATCATCCAGGGAATTGGTTTTAAAAGAAAAAAAAACGCCTCCGGTTTGTTTACCCTGACCCTGTAGAAATACCACACATCATGACCACCTGAGCTACTTCAACACTCGACCAAGACCACTTTACAGCAGCTGGGCCAGCAGACCGACGAAGCTCAGACCAATGACGGCCGAGTTCACGTGGACGTTGACGGCAGCGTTGCTAGAGTTGCCGCTGCTGCCAGAGGCGCTGTCGCCAGCGGTGCTGCCAGTGTTGGCCTTCTCGTTGTTGGACGTGCAGGTGAACTTGCCCTGAATGACACCGTTGCCACCCTGGGAGCCGGGAGCGTTCTTCTTCAGCTCAGTGCAAGCATCCTCGATGTCGTTGGTGGAGGAGACCTCGAAGGTTCCCTTGACGTCCTCAAGGCTGGGGAATTCAACGCTAAAGACGGGCCGTTAGCAACTGTCTTCAGAGTTGTGATCTACATATACCGGTACTTACTTGCTAAAGTTGCCGCCAATCTTGATGGCACCACCAAGCTCAGCCAGCTCGGGGAATCCAGTAAGCTCCTCCAGGCGGGTGTTGTTGACGACAGTCAGGGCACCACCGAGGCTCTTGAGGCCAGAGAAAGTGATGTTGGTGAGCTGAGGGTTGTTGATGAAAGAGATGTCACCACTGCTGGTGGAGGTCATGTTGGGGGCGGCGAAGCTCTCGAAGTAGTTCGAGTCGAACCTGGCAGAGCCGTTGACGACCTCGAGCGAGGGCGAAGAGAACTCGGTGACGTTGGCAATGGTCATGTTGGCGATCCAGACAAGGTTGGGCATGGTCACGCTCAGCTTGGCACCGTTGGCCTGGATGTTCAGGTTCTCGCTCAGGTTCTTGAGCGAGGTGTCGAACTTGGTCAGGCGGCGGTTGTTGTTGATGTCCATGCTGCCGACCGACTCCAGGTCGATACCATCCAGGCTCTGCAGGAAGGTGTCGGAGATGGTGACGGTGTTAGCCTTGCTGACACCGGTGCTGAAGCTCAGGGAGTTGAGAGCGGGCAGCGACTGCCACGTGATGGTGCCGACGCTGGTCAGGGCGGGCAGGTTGAGCGTGGACAGCAGGGTCACGTTGGCGAGTCTGAACGTTCCGGAGATCGAGCTGAGGGACTGGGACGCAAGAGAGATGACGGCGCCATTGTTCTCCAGGGTCAGGTCACCGTCAATCTGCTTAGGGCCGGACAGGTCGATCTGGGGGTCAGACGTCGCGGGGATCAGGACGTCACCCTTGAGCGTGCTGCAGTCGGAGAGAGCAGTGGCCTCAGCGGCAGAGCCGATTGTGAAGGTGGATTGTGTGCAGGCGGAAGATTGCGCTGGCGATGCTCGTTAATGACGCTATCGAGATGGTCTGGGAGCGACGCTGGACTTACCAGAGGCAACAGTGGCCGCCGCGAGGGCAGAGATAGCCAGCTTGGAGAACATTTTGCTGGTGCTGTGTGGATAACTGATTAGCAACCTTCGAATGGCAGTGGTATGGCTTAGATGTGGTTGTGATGTGGACGAGAGGCGAGACGGATCCTGGAGGCGATTGAGTTGAAAGATGATTGTTGATGTTTACTTTGCGTTGTCGAGCCGAATTGGGTTTGAGAGTGTCGTCCTGAATCCAAGAAACCAAAATGGGATCTAAGTAGACGAGACCGAATGTAGCAATGTTCGTTCGGTGATGTTTGTGGTCTCGAGAAGCCTGTGTGCAAACCGATCGAGTGTGATCGTTGCTGGGTGACAGGTATCTTCCCCTGATATCAGTTTCCCGGGGAACTGGCAGACGGCACAGCTAGCGGGCTTTCCCAATTGCCCTCCTCGAGGCTTCCTTCTCCACGAGGTGGCTTATCGTCGGGACGGTGAGATCGATGCAGGAGCGATACGCGGAGGACAGGTCGTTCAATCGCGGGTCGGGGCTCGAAGTTGAAAAGTGGAAGCCGTTGGGCAGCGGTAGTGGTGTTGTTGTTTTTGTTGGCGTTCCAAATCGCCGTTGCCAATCACGAGCTTTGGGCCAGGCAGGTGCAGTGCAGGATGGTGGGCGGGAGCAATGAGACTTGTCTCTGGGGCCGACAAGAGTCGAGGACTTACCGAAAGATGGGATATCTGAGAGGATTCCAGTGGTTGTCTGGGTTGCGGAATTCCAGAGAAATTGTCGGGGATTTTTTTTACTTGTCGAGGAGGGCGATCAGACCAGATCCAATTACGCACGAGTGACTGAAGATGGAGGATGCTTCTCTCTTCGCCAAGGAAAATATGGACAGTAGCGAGTGTCGTGAAGGAAAACTGAAAACGGGGGACTGTGAGAAGATGTTTGAGGAGGAAGGGGAAAAGGTTGATTAAAGTGTAGCAGTCAAGGTATGACTTCAGGAAAAAGAGAGGGAAGGGGGAGTGACTGGGGCAACTGGGAGGCAATGGGAGCTGGCTGGGTTGGGACGGGGATGGCTGGATGATCAACTGCTACTGTATGTACTGTGTAGGGGCCGATCAAGAAACAGCGAAGGGGGGGGCCAGGGCGCCCACTTGCACCCTCAATCTGGCGACGCTAATAATGAGCGGCCAGGGCGAGTGGTACTCGATGCTCGTACAGTCACCCCCGTTCAATCTCTCTCACATTTGCTCCTTCGCCTGCGACAGCCGGCCCATTCTGTCTGGCGCAGGCCTCCCCGAGCTGTGGGGGGGTGCACCCAGGAACGAGGTACCACTGTGCTGCCGTAGGTCTGTGGAGCTCCGACAGGGGGTTTGCTGGGACCATTCACCCCTGCCCGGCGGAAAACACTTCCCACTTTCCCACTTCCCAGGCGAACGAACCAGTTGATCCAGACAGACCACCAACAAGCCGGAGCTCGCACCTTTCGGCCTCTACAGCATGGTACGCAGTGGGTTACCTGCCGAGAAGAGTGCTCGCCTCTGCTTTACTCTGCTCTGCCTCGTGGGGGGTGATGGATATATACGCTCGCAACGTGGGAACAGCTTCATCATCGTCACCAACTCTGTTGCGTCCCCACTCGTCGAGGTGTCTGCTGCCGTGGCTCCATGGCCACGGCTCCATGTGGCTGGGTGTGAAGACGTCGCCGTCCCATCTCCAGCCGCCTAGCCACATGAATATTCGGGCCAGGACCGCGTCATGGCTCCTCTTTTCTGCGAATCCTCCTCTGGTAGAGGCGAAGATCTCGCGGTGGAAGTCCGCATCTATTCGATACGTTCAGTACCATACGGTTTTAATTCTCACGTGCACAAATGTCGCCTTTTTACCATTCCAGGCGGCGGCGACGTCGGCGAGGGCCTAGGCCTGGACCTGCTACTTCAGAAGCGGTGCATCAGGACGTGTCCGGCAGATAGATCTATTTCCATGCACACACAGATACGCACCTCCCAGTCGGCGGGCGTCGGTTCCTACAGACTGCTGGATGGATTGCTATTGACCACGAGGGGCTTTCTTCGGCAGTAATTGATTACGAGGCCCATGTCATTTGTCGGCCTGCTGTACATCGAGCTCAAGGATACGACCAGACTGGATCCGTAATCCCACTGGCGAGATTGCTCCTTATCAAATATTGGCTGTTTGTGCCATGGCCCCTGGACCGTTGGCACACCCTGTCAGCACTCTCTTCCATTGGGATTCTCACAAGCTGCATCCTTAAACTGCCATCATCGACATTGAAGCTCTGCCTCTACCAAGTAAAAGGCTCGAAACTCCTCTAACCGGGCTCGGTTACCAGTGTGCTAAGCTAGACTTGCTAGCCTCGCAATTGGCAGCGCCGCAGAAACGCTCGCATGAAGCACGCCCACTTTAGCTGCCAAGTTTAAGTTCCTAGACTATCACACGGTTCACACCTTGCGGATGGTTGAATTTCGGCCAGGCCAGCCAGGCCGGGCCTGACTAAAACTACCACCTAGCCTGATCTGCCAGAAATCTTGGCCATACCTATTTAGAATCTCCCATGTGCGGTTCATCATGCAAAAGGCAACTCACCTGGCCAATATCCGGTACGATGTTACCGAAGGCGAGGAATCCTCAGCCGAGGTGAAGCAACACGTTCCCTGGCCCTTGTCTCAGGGTGAGCACTGATGACGCCAGAGAAGGCTTTCCCGGTCGTCCACGGCGACAGAACGACAAAAGCAAGGCCGAAGCTGGAGGTGGTGAACCACACTGACAGGCTTCTGTCGCCGGAAGGACTGCCACGATCGCGATGACGGTTACGACAGCTCTTGCGTACTGCTGTACCAATCATGATCCGAACTGCCTCCCATTGTGCGTGACTTTCCCACTGGCAGTGGAAGACACAATGCAGTGCATTACGAATCTGCACAAGAAAAAGCTAAAGCAAACCAATCAAGGCCTGGCCCTAACGAAACCAACACGAGAGCTCCGCGTCCGCATCTTGCAGCGGCTAACGCATTAGCTCCCACGGCCACACGAGTTGGTGTCGTGTGCAATCCAGACACCCAGACTCCGAGCACCCAGTCTGCACGAAATCAACGCGCCCGGCGGCGATGTGATGCTGATATTGCCGTCACAACCGTCCGTTTTCATACAGTGTACACAGGCAGGTTCACGCCAGGCCCGCATGCCCGGCCCCACCGCAGTCTGGTGTAAACCACCCGGCCTCCTTTTTTCCTGGAATTCCTGGGAGCAACATTTTAATCTTTGATTGCGAGCATCCATTCTGATGGCAAAAACAACGCTCCCGCCCCTGCACTTTTCAAATGGCAGGGTAATCTTTAGAGTGACATTCGCTGGACGATGTCAAGTCAATAGCTGACGACTCCGGCATTCCAGTGGTGGCTGCCATGAGCCTAATGAACGAAAAGTGGCCCTCTCATCTTGCGTATCACGGCCACCCTGTTCCCGGATTGATATGCCCACGCCACCACCTTTCCCCGACAGTCGAAGATCTTGATCTGGAAGGCCGGGAGCTGGTCAGCTCATTGGCCAATGCTTCCCAGAGTATTGAGTTCTATCTGCTCCGTCCCTGGGCCCATCCCTGCACCTCCCAGGAGGCCGTCAGGGAACCTGCGTACGAGATTCCAGCAAATTGTCGCATCTTGGCTTTCCTTTGACTCTTCGCTTAGCATCATGAAATCCAGGCCCAGTGATATAAATGGGTTCAAACCCCACAGAACGCCGGCATCACGACGCAGTTCGACCTCGCGAATGCCGTGGAAACGCAGCGCGTCGACCTGTCCAGCAGACTGTGCAGGTGGCACGCCCAGATATACCTTCTCTGTTAGATCGGTCCCTGCCCGTGCCGGCGTCCAGTTCAAAAGGAACGGCTCTTCCGTCGAGGCTGGTAGCAAAGCTGGTGGTTCTCGACCTTCCAAAACTTCGACTTGGGTCGATCATAACCCAGCACGCCTGTTGCTTGCTGGTGATCAGACCTCACACAGTGTTCACCAGGAATTGCCGAGTCAGCGCCCTGGAGTGCCCAATTTGCGACACTTCTCCAAACCGACTGCGGGTCTTGGCAACCTCAGCGCCGACACCGAGGCTTTCCATCCGAAGTCCTCGAAGCTCAGCCTCGCGAAGCATCTGACAGTGTTTGAAGTCTCTCCATTCGGACGGCCAGCTTGATCGACGATTCGGCTGCAAAGCCTCGTTCCCATCCGTCATTGAGACAAGATCAGGCGGTACGTAGGCTGATGGCCAATGCAAGGTTGGCTGTCTTCACATGGCTGGGTTGCCTCCTCACCGTGATACCGAGCAGCGGGCCATCAGGACAGCGCCTGCACGGCATATGCGGAGAGGCGAGTCTTTCGGCCGGCGCGGGACAGCCGGCTGAATGCCGTAGTTGCGGGTGTGCCGTGCTTTGAACAAAGTAACAGATTCACCGTTGTTCTATCTTCGTCTTGGCATGTGCCTGCCACTAAGCCTCGCCATTAGCAAGGCACAAGGAACGGTCACATCAAGAGAGCTGTCTGATGTGAAGCACGTACGACTGCGCACCAGCACGACGTCTTCCCGAATCACAGGCATGGCCGTCCTTGACATGCATGACCATGCTGCGCACCCGGTGAGACTACTCGAGGTGTCATTCCTCTATCGCAGCCGAGTTCAGTAATTCATCAATTTGCGTACAGAGTAAACAGGTCGCCGTCGCGTCACGTTGGACAGACAACGACTGTAGGACGAAAGTGATTGATAGTCGAACTCGCCAGGGGGCCCGTCAGATGCGGCCCCCCGATCCTGCGGTTTACCTACCCCTTCTAAACCCACCCTCTCGCCATTGACGCGCAGGACTCGCCAGAGTGAGGTTTCACGACGGCCACAAGCAAGCACGACACGAATGGTAGGTTGGACAGAATCCGATCTCATCCTTCGGAGTTGACCGTTTTTCGGCTGTCTCGGACTGGACAAGGGGCAGACAGGCGAGAGGGGTCTGCGGTGCTTGCCCTGTCGTCCACTGGGGAAGGGGCACCTTGGAGACGTCCATATAGCAGCAACAGCATATTGTATCTGAGGCGTTATCTGTCTGAGAACCACCCCCAGTTGCTACCACGTGCTATTTTTCTGATCCGGTGTTGTTTGAAAGTTGCATTTTTGGGGTTACGCAGGGCAGAGAGCGATGGTGCATGGTTTGATGGTCCTCAAGAGAACTCGGTTCGTGGCCGGTGCGCTATCATGGCTTTTCGTACCCCCATCACGATGCGGTTTACTCCGGTAAGCCGTGATTGATGACAACAGTGGCCTGCTTCTAGGAGCTTTGCTTTAGGAGGAAGCCTAAGTGGATTCCCTACGTCTTGCCGGAACGAACATATCATATCCAATGCGGCCAAAGGTAATCTTACACCCTGTGGTTCGCGAGTCGGGCGCCCGACGTGCCGGACCGGACCAAACTCGTATATGGACCGCAAATTCGCAGAAATTATTCTCAGGAATCATTGCGATCACTCTCTCACAGATCGCACTGCTCACCGGCCACTAGTGCAGTTCATTCGCTCACTCGAGCGTGCTGATATCCGTCTCCTCGACTCTCCACATATACCACATGAATAGGCTTCTATACGGACTAAATGGCGCCGCCATATCAACCATCTCTTTCTCGGACATGTATTTCCACTTGTTGCCGCCGCCCTTGGCCTTGAGCTTGGACACGTCCCGGCCCGCAAACGCGGCCATGCCTCTCTGCACACCGAGGTCTCCCGTGCTAAAGACATCCATCCGCTTGAGCCCGAAGCACGCGAACATCTCGACGCTCCAGCGGCCCAGCCCGCGGACGGCGATGAGCCTCTCGAGGACATCCTCGTAGGGGGCGTCGGCAAACCACCGTGCGGTGAGCTCGCCATCGGCGAACTTGGCCGCCAGCCCTTGGATGTACTCGGCCTTGCGCTGCGACAGCCCTGCGGAACGGAGGCGCTCGATGCTAGCGGCCGCGACCTGCGACGGCGTGGGGAACTTGTTGGTCGCGGTGGTGGTCGTGGCGTCCGCGGCATCTGCGTGGTCGAAGAGGTCGATGAAGCGGGCCTTGATGGCCTTTGCCGCCGCGCCGGAGACCTGCTGGGAGATGATGCCCGACGCGAGGGACTCGAAGGGGTCGATTTTCTCGGCGAGCCCGGCGGGGGAGAAGATTCGGCAGTGATGGGCTGTGATCAGGGGCTCGATGCGGGGTTCGACTGTGTCAAGGCGGTCAGTTCATTGCTGCGAGTGCCAGGCTGCATCGCGATCGCTCTGTGGTGGATCGGCTAGCTTTGCCCCGAGTACAGATCCTGAGGGGCATGTGGAACCTGGATAGGAGAAACCCCAGATCAAACCCGAACCACAGAGCACTCGCCAGCGGGAGACCGTGACTCCAAGGGAAAGGCTTACCCTTGATGAGATGCGCACATGCCTCCTCGAGGATGTTCGCCGTGGTCGTTGGGTTATAAGAGATGACCCTGGACGTCTCTGGCGAGAGCAACGGCGCATTGGTCAGGTTTGGGTCTGCGAGCTGCGCTACAGCCCGAGGCTTTGGCTTTGGCGTGACGGATGATGATGCTGTCAGCTTCGAAGCGGGAGTAGCTGCTGGTTCAGCGATGAGGCGGACTGCGCTGGGTGTGGCTGTTGGAGTGGACGGTAGAGAAGGGACCGCTGTTTTCTTTGCTCGTCTCTTGGGGGTGGCTGGCGCCTCAGTCGGCAGCCCATCCTCGGCCGAGGCAGACGGCGGCGCCTTTCGCTTGCGTGACTTGGTTGCCGTAGTAGAAGGAGGCGGCATCATTGCGGACGGCGTATCCTTGCTCTCAGCCTGGGCTTGGGCCTGAGCACTAAGGCGGGCAGATCGTCGACTCGACATGGTGGGTTTTGAGGTAAGTCTTGCAAGAGCGACAGCGCGTGTAGGATGTGACAGTCTGCGTCCCGTCGTCTGGAGTAGTGTACAGAATTGTAAAAGCCTCTGGAGAGGCGAAGGAGTAAAGCAGGCGTGGAAGGGACGAGCTACGGCCATGCGGTTCAGGAACGAATTACAGGTGTCGACGTTATCGTCGGGTCTCAGAATGGCACCTAGGACGGCATCACAATTCAATTCGACTCGACTGTTCGGGTCGGTTTGCGAGAGGGAGAAGAGACACGAGCATCGGGGCGGAGAGTAAGCCGGGCGAAACAAGGACTCGCTGCCGTGCCTGGTGTGAAACGCGCCCTGCGCTTGTCAATAGCCCACCGTGGCGCATCTGCAAGAGCAGGGACGGGACATGGCGTCGCCCATCGACCGCCAAGTCACGTGGACGAAAGGCGAGGGCCAGAAGAGATGAGTTCCCTGGAACTCCGAAACTCGGAAAATCCAGCGATTCTAAAATAGGCAGCTGCAAGAAAAGGGCAGACTGAGCGTTGAGATGACAGGTGGCGGTAAGACGTGATGTTCCGAGCGGATGCAGTCAGACAGGCGCGCTTCCCGGGGCTCATCCCTGGAACTTCTACAAGCAGCAGGTTGGCTTAGCACTGCCAATTGGTAATGTTCTCGCGGCCATCATTGGATGAACGTGCCTCTTGGGCCGGCAGACGCAGATATACGTGTACTGCAGACGCAGTTGAGGTTACAGAGTGTGCGGAGAATGATCTCCTTGATGAACACCGTAGGGCTGGCGATGAGGGACGGCCTGGCCCACCAAACACACTTTCAGGAGTAGGGGAAAAAAGAGGAGCTGATCATCTGCATTCGAGTTTGGGAAAGCGTGATCGTCACGCGGCTGGGTACAAGACACTTGCTGCTGCATGAGATGGAGCTTGGTATAGGAATAAGCGAGTCCAGCCATCACTGGCAGCCAATCTACCGGAAAGCTGACTGTGCCGGCCATGCAAAGCTGGCTGGCCGGTGGAAGGAGAATTCATGTGTGAGGAATTTCATCGTGTAGAGAGAGGCTGTGAAGTATAGATGGTGACCACCAGCCAACACGAGCTCAACTCGCCTCAACATTGTTGATGATAGACTCCACTGCAGACTGGACTAGTAGACTAGGTAGATGTACATAGATTGCAACCCGGGAACTGCATCTGGACTGTTGTGGATGCAACCGGGGCAGATGGACAGTAATCTGGTAGGCCGAACCGCAGAGCCCACCTCCGCTTTTTGCCCATCCTCCCGCTCCATCATTTCACATGCATGACCAGTCGACGGGGCCGGTAATAAAGAGGACGTACGGATAGGGAGGTGAGGGTCAACCGGCCTCGACCCAGAGCGCCCGGGTTTGCTTCTCCTGATTGCTGATTGCTGATTGCTGCTTGATTGCGTGGTCAGAGGAGGAGGTGCAGTGGCATCGGACGGGAGCTTCCAGGCCCCAAACAACATGTGGTCTGTTCAGTTCGATGAGCAGGCAGGCAAGCAGATAGACAATTGTTAGCTGGATGCAGCATGTGCTCCTCTCTTCACGACCGATCGTTGGAGAATTTGCTGTTGGTGGTGGTTCGGCAGGGTTGGCAGGCCCCGGTCAGCCCAGCCAAAAGGGAGGGAAGGCTTGGGCTGGAGACCCAGGAATCTGCTGGAAAAGCCCTTCCAGGTTGATAATTGCTCGCTCGCATCCGGGCAGCCCCTAGCTCGTATTTGGCCGTTCCGCGTCATCATAATAGGCTGCAGGGCACAGAGTCTTCTCGATTACCTGCCCGGGTACCTAGGTGCTCCCTGAGAGCGTCCCTTGTCGCGCCGGCTTGGCCTTCCAAGGGTGGGCGAGGGCGCGCGTTTTTGCAGAGGGTCTAGAGTCCAGCCGGGAGCAGATCCAGGTCCTGCCTGGTCTGCTTAGGTCCAGGTCCGGGTCCAGGCAGCCCCAGGTTGGCGCTTGAACTCTGCTTAGGGGCAACTGTGGACAGCAGAATGCTGCTACAATTTACCACAGTAGGTATCTACGCAGTCGGACTCAAAGAAACCACTACCACACTGCACTGCTACTCCGTCCGCTTCGCTGTACTACACCTTATCGCTCCCCAACCATCACCAGCTGGTCCAGAGCAGGTTGGTGATAGCTGCCGTCTCTTTCTTATTCCCATTTTATCGTGCGCCTCGGTCGGTGCCTTGTGCCTGTGCTTTTGCCCGTGCCTGAGTCTGCGTCCGCCCATTGCGCCTGTTCCCTTACCCACGATCCGACCCGCCTCGTCCATTGCCGAGACGACGACGATTATACTGTAACGTGCTGTGCTGTGCTGTGCGTTTTGCTCGGGCCTCTTATTCTTCGAACTGCACCCATCTGCAACGCAACACACGGTCGTCCACTCCACGTCACGTTAATCCCGCCGTCCCCGTCTCGCTCCCCCAAGGCTGCTCACAACAGCACCACGCGGCACGCCACGACGCAGCACCACAGTACTGCCACGTTCGGTGTCCGCTCGCGAACCCTCCGCCGGCGTCTCACCTGCCACCAGGCACCGCGCGCCCCAACTGGCTTGCTGCAAACACCTCCGGCGACAACAATCCTCACAGAGCGACGGCCCAGCTTGCCCAGCGCAGCCCACCTCTGGCTTCACTTGACCTGCCGCAACCGCACATACAAGGGTGGTGCTGAGGGCCACCCCAGCTCGTCGTTACAATGCTCCTTCCCAAAGGCGGCTTCAACTGGAAGGCAGCCAGAGCCCAACTACCTCCCTCGAGAGCCGTATGGAGCTTCGTGACCAGGACCAGATTCCTGCTCGGTGTTGCCCTCACAGGCGTGATTCTGTTGTTATGGCGTGGCATCAGCACGGCAGGGTCGGAGATGCAAAGGTACGTCGGATCAACCGCAACCACTGCGACCACCCAAAACTGGCAATGCGCTGACCTCGTCTTGTTTCTTTCACCCTATAGTTTCTACTGCTGGGGCCCTGCGAAACCGCCTATGGAGATGTCTATTAACGAGCAGGTTTCGTGGACCAAGCACCTACAGACACCCGTCCTGTTCAACCACCACGCGCCAATAGAAGTCAACTCGTCCACCATCGAGCATGTCGACCTCAACCCGGTCAAGTCGACAAAACAGGCCCTCCAGAACAATGAGAGAATACTCATCCTGACCCCCCTCAAGGACGCCGCCCCCTATCTTTCCAAGTACTTCGAGCTGCTCGCCGAGCTCACGTACCCGCACCATCTCATCGACATCGCCTTCCTGGTGGGAGACTCGACCGACGACACCATGGCTGTCCTGGCCATGGAGCTCGACAGGATACAGAAGCGCCCCGACACCATCCCCTTCAGGAGTGCCACGGTCGTCGAGAAGGATTTTGGCTTCAAGCTCAGTCAGGATGTCCAAGACCGCCACGGGTTCGAGGCTCAGGGTCCGCGCCGGAAGGCCATGGGTAGGGCTCGCAACTACCTGCTCGCCACTGCCCTGAAGTCTGACCATTCCTGGGTTTACTGGCGCGACGTCGACATCGTGGACAGCCCAAAGAAGATCATCGAGGACTTTGTTGCCCACGATCGAGACATCATAGTTCCCAGTACGTTGAAAGGGACAAGGCGAGATCCTCACGACCAAGGCTGACCAATTGCAGACATCTGGTTCCACCGGTATGAAAATGGACGCGACATCGAGGGACGATGTAAGTACACTATTCAAATGTCACACCGACTACCCACGTGCTAATCCCGCCGTAGTCGACTACAACTCCTGGATCGAGTCGCCCAAGGGCCGCAAGCTTTCTGCGAAACTGGACAAGGACGTAGTGCTTGCCGAAGGTATGCGCTTTCATACACCTCCAGACCCTTCATGCGCGCGCTGACACCAGGAATCCGTAGGCTACAAGCAGTACGATACCGGACGCACGTACATGGCGCGGATGGGCGACTGGCGAGAGAACAAGGACGCCGAGATCGAGCTGGACGGCATCGGTGGGGTCAACATTCTTGTCAAAGCTGATGTCCACAGATCAGGTTCGTAGCAGCAGTGTCCCTCTACTATTGGAAGAAAAAAATGCTTACCAGATCTCTAATACAGGTATCAACTTCCCATGCTACGCCTTCGAAAATCAAGCAGAAACAGAAGGTTTCGCAAAGATGGCCAAGCGCGCAGGATACGGGGTCTGGGGTCTGCCCAACTATGTGGTATGGCACATCGACACAGACGAGAAGGCCGGAAACGCATAGTGCCAAGGGCGAATAGACTATATCTTCTATTCCAGGACGGCTCTCACCGGTTCCGAGCACCGGCGACAGTACCAGCCACCTTTTTCCATCGAGGCTTTTGACCCAAATATATCCGGCGGCAGGAGACGCGGGCAATGTACGAAGAGCATGATACAGACGCACGCACGCACGCCACCGACCTTAATGGAGTCGGTGACACCGACACGGAGTTCCGGAGGGGATTTTGGGATTTTACCATTCTGTTTTATTACCATGAAGAAATCATACATCCGCCATCATCGGATACTCTGGCATACCTTCTTACATCAGCCCGCCGGTGCTTGAGCCACGGCATCGTTTGGGAACGACACACTTCGCGCCGACGTTCCTTTACTTCTTGGTATCGCTTTGGATAACCTCCAACCTCTCGGCCGATGCTCCTGGCGTAATCGCACGAGGCAAGCCTCAGCGCTTCTCCCTGCTTTTGCCCTTCCGGCGGCGAGAACGACGTATCCGGGCCTGGTAGCCAGACCCTCGATTCGCACGCTTGCTTGCTTGTTCGAGAAATCGCGTTTCATAGATCTGGTTTACTCTTGAGGTTCACTTTAGAGAGCGGGATGATGAACAATTGACAGAGGGTGGGAATTCTTTCAGGGTCCGATATCATGTCACGCGTGGATGATAAGTCCAATGATGGTTCGTTGTGCATAAACGGAGCGGGGACCGGGTTGACCTGCATGTTGAGCAGCTCTTGAACATATTGTGGAGGGCGGAGGGGCACGTCCGGAGCCGGTATGGTGTAGACTGCCTCCAGTGTGAGCCAGAATTAATATATACCTATCTACAACTTCAGCATGGTATTGTGATGATGTGTATCCGCTGTCATACTGAGCGGCAGTGGACTGGCTGTCATTGGCCCCTTTCTCTGCAAAGATAGTCTCAAGCCGTCGAGTAAACAAAGCAGCTGAGTTAACTGATCACCAAGTCCTTTGAACGGACAAAGTTCAGCCCAGCTCAGCCGCGGTGAAGAAAGGTTTCTTAGACCGCGCTATACAATGCTGAATTGTCTTGCCGCATGAACAATGCTTGGTGTCACGGCACAACAAGCATTGATTAAAGCCTATAAGGATGGCAGCTGCCTACTCAGAACACCAGTCAATTGTGTTGGTGACTTCGAATACAGTATATCGACTTTCAAGACACCCAACAGAAGATACACAACTATTATCACAATGGGACGAGGACGACACAACCAGGGCCGCCCTACTTGTTTGGTGTGCAAAAAGAGTGGGCATGAATCAATTAATGTAAGTAGCCTCTGGCAAAAGTATCTGTCTCAGATCACACAAAGGTATCTCATGAGCTGTATCCCATTTGGCTCTTGTGGGATTGCAGCTCGAGACACTGGGACTGTGGACATGAGGTTTCCCAATCCATCCCCATTCCGTTCCGTATAAAAATCTTCCATCATGGCCTTGATCACTAACTCTAGACACTGTAGTGTCGGTTACTGCAAGCAGTAAATCAAAATCAAAAGCAACAACAGAAAGGCAAGCAGCAGCAGCCCAATACTAAAAAAACCTGCAATCATTGTGGAAAGGCAGGCCACATCAAGGCTGAGTGTTTTACATTAAACCCATCTCTTAAGAACAAGCCTAAAGGCCAGCAGCAGCATCAGGGAGGCGAGAAGCCAAAATGCACATACTGCAACAAAAACGGGCACACAGCTGCAGAGTGCTTCAAGGCTCACCCGGAGCTCAGGGGCCAGGGAGGTAAAAACACACAGCAGCAGGAGACTAGGTGTACCTACTGCCTCATGCCAAACCACGACATCGATGCGTGCTATCTCCTTCACCCAGAGCTGACGAACCCCTACCACCAGCCGCAGCAGCAGCCGCCGCAGTGGTTCCAGCCCGTCGACAGTGATAACGACAGCAACAACAAGGCCCCGCCGCCGCCGCCGCCGCGCCTCATGCAGAGAATCAGGCAGGCCGAGGCGTTGGGGCTCGAGCTCACACCGCAAGGGATACGGCACCATCCCAAGGTGCGGCGCATCCAGGGCTGGCACCCGGCGCGGCAGACGTACATCACGCTGCCGCTGTACGGGGCCGCCGTAGCACGGCCTGTGTGGCATAGCCAGAACCCCTTCGCCCAGCCGACGTGCCAGGTCGCGTACGAGGCGTACGACACCTCAGGCGACATGGTTATGTGTAGCTGCTCATGCCCGGATGACTTCGAGTGCAAGCTGCAGCAGTGGGTGCGCAGGGCCGTGGAGAGGGACGAATCCACGTTGTATACGTTCACGGACAAGTCTGCCCAGGCCTTTGGGAAGATTTTGGAGGATGGGCTGGTGGATATGGCAGACATAGGTATAATTTATTAGAATATAACATAAAAGTTCTGGTTTACATTTTCCTGCCAACACAATTTCTACATGCTTACGTGGATACTTAGGTATCATCTATGTGTTGCAATGACGGAAGAAATCGCGGTCCATTATCTTTCACATGAGATGATCTTGGCAAGAGTCTCTCATCTATACGTGTGAGCCTCAAAACTTGATTCTGGTCTTTCTTAAAACCCAGAGAGGAAAGGCATCCAAAATAAAGTAACGTCCCCGGCCCCGGTATGTGCCACCCCCCCATCTGGGCCAGCCAATTTCCTAACAAACGCATCTAAAGGCGCCCACTTTTAAAGTCCCCATATTAAATCCAAATTAAATTCAAAAATAGCCAGAACTAACCTAAATATACTATTTTATATATAAATTAAGGATAAAATATTAAGAAAATCTTATATAAGCTTTAATATTTTTAAAAGAGTTTTTAAACTTATATATATTAAAAATATTAAAAAATACTATTAATATACACTATAATACTAACAATAATACCATATATTTAATGTTGTTAATATTTCTTAAAAATATATTAATTTAATATATATTACATAAATTATTAAAATATTATATTTATATATATTTTATTTATTAAGTAAATTAAAATTTAAGATTTTCTTTAATAAATAATTTATAAAAAAATTATATATATATAATTATTTCCTTTAAAAAGTATTTTTACATAAAATATTATAAAATTTATATAAATTTAAATTTATAAGTTATAAATAAAATTTATATTAAATATTATAAATATTATTACGTTAAATAAATATTAAAATAATATTGTTATAAATTTTTTTTATGAAATCCTTAATATTTTAGCAACTTAATATTTAAGAATTTATATATAAATGTTATGGGCTAGCCTTGGGTTGTTTGCCGTAAGGTGTCTGAATGGGGTTTATATTTAGAGTGTAAAGGAGAAGGTTCACTCCTCGTCTATACCTGCGCTGAAGCCTATTCTTATAAGGCCAAAGCCTATTAATTAATTATAATGGGCAAAGCTTAAACTATAATATATCCTTTTTTTTTAAGTCCTTATAATAAGCCTTAAAGGGTAATTATATAATAAAAAATAAAAGATATTATAATTTAATTATAAATTAAATATCGCTCTTTATTTAATTATTTAATTATACCTTAATGCCTTTTAATTATATTAAAGGCTTAGCTTATTATTTATAATTAATATGCCTTAATTCTTATAATTTAATATATTAATTAAAGTAAGTTAATAAAAAATAATTATTTAAATATAAATTAATAGTTAAATTAATAATATTCTTATAATCCTTTAATGCAAGCCTTTTATATAAGCTTTCTTATTTAAAATCTTAAGATTGTAAATTTATTATATAATTTGTAATTAATTAGCGCTTAATTATAAGTAATTTGCTTTATTAGCGGGAATTTCTTAAATTTTAAGTATTTTTATAAGGCTAAATTAGTTAATATATAATTAATTTATTTTAAGTTTAAGCCAGCGCTAAGTTAACATTACTTTTAAGCCTTACCCTATAAAAAAAATTTTACGCCCCCTTAAATAAATTCCTCCCCCTTGCTAGTCTTAATTAATAAAAACTATACCCTTATTTTTTTATAGTAATTAAGGCAATTATATTTATAATAGCTAAGTTAATTATATATAAAATACTTAACTTTATTTATTAAAATTGCTATAATATTAATATTTATTACTTTGCTATTTTAAGGTTAAGTATTATTCTTTTTCATTATAATATTAAAAACGCCCTTATATTGCTATAAAGTAAAGCAAAAGGCCTTAAATATATCTAGCCATTCCTTGCAATTAAGCCAAGCTTTTATTATAAAGGTTAAGTTATTAACTATTAATAATATTTTATACTTATTTAATTAACTTTAAGTTTTTGCTATATAAGCTAATTAATTAAATTAAGCAAGAAATTTTATTATTTTCTTTTTGCAATGCTATTATAGCGTAATTAAGCTAAGCTTAGCATGCCTTTGCTTAAAAGGGTTTTTAAGTATAAGGTAAACCTTTTTTAAAAAGCTTTTTAGCTATTCCTTAAATATTTTTATAAAATTAATATAAAGTAAAAGGTAATTATAAAAAGTTCCTAGCTAATTAAATATAAAAGAATTAAGCCCCTTTGGCATTAATTGCCTTTTTATTTATTATAAACTTAATCCTTATTTTTATTAATTAAGTTACTAAGTATTCTTAAAATAAAAGTTTTTTTAAATAGGAAAGGGCTTAATAAGCTATTATTATTCTTTTTAAGTTTTGCTATATTAAGTTTTATATAATTATATTATAGGTTTATAATGCAAAAGGACTTTAAATATATATTATAGGCTAGCCTTAGGTTATTTGCTATAAGGTATTTAAATAAGGTTTATATTTAAAGTGCAAAGGAAAAGGTTTACTTTTCGTTTACACTTATGCTAAAGCTTATTCTTATAGGGCCAAAGCCCACTAACTAATTACAATGAGCAAAGCTTAAACCGTAATAATAAATAATTATACTTATTATTATTTAAGTGTATTTTAAAAGATTTAAGATTATTATTTATAAATATAAATAAAAAAGTAGGTATTTATAAGATTTAAATAGAATTAATAAAAGGGTATTAAAAAGTGGGTATTTAGTATGTAAAGTGGTGGCCCAGATGGGGGGGGGGGTGGGTGGCCCAAACCGGGGCCGGGGAAGTTAATGATCAGAGGCAAGGGTTCCCTATTCCTCAGGTATCCCAGTTATTCATCATGCACTCCAATAGTTTAAGCCGTTAATTACCAACACAGACACAGAAGTATGTCCTAGAATATTTTATATGACCCATTGGTGTATAATATCTAAAGTTGCTAGAGAAAATCTGTAAGAACTTCTTTACAATGAGACTCTTCCTGGCGAGGGACATGTCATGTTTTTGGGCACTTTAAAGTTGTACGCTTTGTTGAGTTCCGCTGAAGAACTTAATCATGCTGTGTACTCAAGAACATCAGCGTCTGCCGACACGGGATGTCTATCATCTCTTTGTGAAGTGTCAAAGAATAAGTGACAGGAGACGTTCAGTCTTATCCGCCAAATGTTCTGGCAGCTGAGCCACTACACCATGCGCTGCCGGCGTCCATCGAATTTGTTTGCTCTTAGATATTGAACATGTATAGATTCGTGTAACAAAGCGAACGGCTTCGATCCTGAGAAGATTATTGTTTACGCTGCCCTGCTTCCATCAATCGGACCCTATCATTAATAAATCAATGCTCTACTGCCAACATACAGGAGAACTTGAGGAAACCCATTTTAGAAGCATCTGAAACGAGGCCTGTCCATCACTGGCCAGTTAAAAGAAACCACCCCCCACGTTGACATAGTACACGAGTGTAAGGAAGTCATCGATTTCGTATGGGAGATTGGCCACTCGGCCGTGTCCTATGGAAGCGCTCGTTGAGCATCCAGCTACACAGTCACATGTTCGACCTTGTGCCGCTGAGGACAGTTGTGGATGGGTGACTGGGGCATGGCTCGCTCTAGTTTGTCTATCCCGGACAGGTGAAGCAGCACTGCTCTGAGAGAAAGGGGTGCGCCCTAGCGAAGCATTTTCTGAAGCATTTTCTGAAGGTTCTCGTGAGATTCGTAGCTACGCTGTGTCTGAGGTGTGTAGATCTTCAGATATGTCCTGACCCGGCCCCATGGTTGTGCTGAAATGTCAGTGACTGCCAACTTCTGAGCTGTACCTTTGCGAGTGGGAATCGGGGGATGCCAGACTGTGGCGGCAGTTCGCCTTCCCCAATGCAGCATGAGCGTGTCACTTGTGGCTCGGCTGAGTGGCTCTGTGAGTGGAACATGTGCTCTCTTGATTATGTGCAGGCTCTCACAACACATCCAATCAATGCTCCGGTCTGTTGGCCCCCAATGGAGTCCACCCGGAGTTGTTTCGTGCCTTCACAGACCAAGAAGATGGAGCGTCTAAGAACCGTTTCCGTCTATTGCGTCATGATATCTCGGCGGTGTCCTCAAGGGTGCCGTATGGTACAGAGTCCTGATTGACCCATCTCCTCCATCTTCGACCTTGTCTCAGAGGTGCTGTCTAAGTACAGGCCTAAACCCTCCCATCACAGTTTCACTCCAACAGCCAATGCAATCGTCTAGTGGCTCTTGTGGACGGTCAGGGTGTCGAGGGCATCCTTCTCCTTGAGCTCGGCCTCGACGAGCTTGATGAGGGGTAGAAGATAGGGCGTGTCCTCCTCTGGCTTGGTCCACTCCTGCTTGGGCAGCAGCTTGTGGGAGATGCTGCACTGGACGGCGCGGCGAATGCGGAAGATGCGGTCGTAGCGCTCCTTGTCGGCTAGACGCTTGAGGGCGGTCTGGACCTCAGGGCTCTCTTCGGGGATGAGATCGTCGGCACTGGATAGGAGAGGAACGGTTCAGCAGGCGAGGCGACACAGTACAGACTGAGGCGCGTATCAATTGGGCGCATGGCAGGGGCGGGCAACATACCGGAGACCGAGCTGTCGATAGCCAGAGGCATTGGCGTACCAGTTGGCGAGAGGCTTGAGGGCACTGTGCAGCCAGGGCCTCTTGACGACAAAGGGAGCCAGGGTTGGGTAGGACATCGTGGCTGCTGGTCGACGTGGTTTGAGTTGTGGTGGTGAGGTGGTGTGTATGAGAAGAGTTGGTGAGGGCTTCAATTTGGCGCGGGTCAATCAGGCGTCGTTGATTGACGAGCCTGCACGGAGAGCCGAGCGAGGCTTGAGTGGGCACGGACCCTGCTACCGTGGGCAATGGGAGGTAGAGATGGGAGGAACCGGAGAGCTGGGATTGTACGGGTACCTAGGTACATACTTCCAATCCCGTCCCGGCTGCAGGCAGGGTCACGTGTTACGTACCCACCGGCTCCGGTTTCCCTGCAGACGCGAAGTACCAAATACCGTAGCACATACGCGAGAACGGACGACAAGCTATGAGGTAATGCGGCTTATCTCGGCTTGCAGGCTCGCAGGGTGGCCCGATAGACATCTTGGAGATTAGCGGGCTTTTGGCGCCTGTTTTTTTTGGAGAATGGAGCAGAGCACAAGCAACAAGTGCAGGCAAGAGCACGCATGCCTGCAGTGGAGTCGAGTCAAGCTGTTGAAGGAAGAAGCTACCTGACACAAAGGAAGAAAAGAGAAGCACCACAGCGCAGGCCAATCACTTCCTGTGCTTGCAAGCTTGCAATCCTGCTTTACGGGCAGCGAGCCAAAGTACCTCGGGCCTGACAGAGAGGCCCCCACCGCTTCACCTGCCTCACCTCACTTTGTTTGTCCGCCGCGGTCGCACAAAATACGTGCCCCTGCTGCCGTCATCGCATCGCATCGCCATCAATCCCCGACGGCCCTCTTTTTGGCCCGGCCCTTACCCTTGCCCTCGCTTTCGCCCATTGCCATTACACTCTTCTCTGCCCTCTGCCTCTCACCTATCGCGCAGCCTCTCCTCCTGCTGCGTGCATTTGCTGCGAAGAAACTCATTCTCAAGACAGCCTCCCTCTCAGCGTGTGTCCGAAGTCAATGGCCTGCGACAACCGTTAGCTGCAGTGTCGCGGCCTCTGCGTGGGAAGCCTTCCCCGCACACCGGGACCGTTGAACCCTACCGCATACCAGACGACAAGACGAACACCCGGCACCGACCTCGAGTCGCATCTCGCGGTACCGTCCCAAGACCCCTCGCTGCTCCCACCTGTCGACTCTCTCCTCCTCCTCGACAATTCTCCCTCCCCGGGGGACCTCAGCCCCTTGCCGAGGCCCCCCTCTAGACACTCCCCGCCCGTCCCGGGCTCCCTCCCTTTCTCTCCGGGGCGCCTCCGAGGAACAGGAATGTCTCTCAACGAAAGGGCTGCTGATTCTACGCCCGCGGAGTACGGGCGCTCCCCGACCTCTGTCACAAAATACACTCACTCGACTGCCGCTGGGCTGCCCGCCCCCCTACAATCTGCTGTCCCCAGGGCGGCATACGCTTCTCTTCCCACCAACATGCCCGACCCGGCACTGTCACGCTTCGAGCGCTGGGCGATAAATGCTTCTGACTCCCAGTTCAATGCGCTGGCTGGTGCGATAGGAGGGTTTACTTCGGGTATAGTAACCTGCCCCCTCGACGTCATCAAGACCAAACTTCAGGCCCAGGGCGGCATCAACCTTCAGAGGGGGATCCACGTCGGCCAACCGCAGATGTACAAGGGCCTATTTGGCACGGCCAGCGTGATATGGAGAGACGAGGGTCTGCGTGGCATGTACAGAGGCCTCGGCCCTATAATCATGGGCTATCTGCCGACTTGGGCCGTCTGGTTCACAGTCTACAACAAAAGCAAAACAGTTATAGGCCAGCACCAGAGTACGTCGGCTCCCTTTCCCGCTCGAATCGCCGGTCATGGAGTTGCCTCGCTGCCCATGGCCCTTGGATCCCATGAGCTTCGCTGACAACCCGCAGACAACACCATCATTGTCAATTTCTGGTCCTCCATCGTGGCCGGAGCCAGCAGCACCATCGTCACAAACCCCATCTGGGTTATCAAGACACGCCTCATGTCGCAATCTGGCCGGAACGGCGGGGGACGGTTCTCTCTGTTTCCCAGAGGCGCCGGCACGCCCACGGTTCGGCCGTCCTTGCCGTCGCCATGGCACTACCATTCCACCCTGGACGCGGCCAGGAAGATGTACACCACAGAGGGACTTCGAGCCTTCTACTCTGGACTCACTCCAGCTTTGCTGGGCTTGACTCACGTGGCAGTGCAGTTCCCCGCTTACGAGTATCTCAAGACAAAATTCACAGGACAGGGCATGGGCGCCTCGTCCACCGAAAGCGACCCCAAATCTCACTGGATCGGTATTCTCAGCGCCTCCATACTGTCCAAGATCATGGCCAGCAGTGCCACTTACCCACATGAGGTCATACGTACCCGACTTCAAACTCAACGACGGCCCATGGCCGGCAACGGCTTGGTGCTAGACCCCGTGAGCGAGATCCCAGGCCTGAACCAGCCTTTAGGTCCCGCTTTCTCCGCCGCCGAGAACTTGGCCAAGCAGAGACTCGAACAAGAGCAGCAGCAGCAGAGATATCGGGGTATTGTCAGGACATTCCGGACTATCCTAAAAGAGGAAGGCTGGAGGGCCTTCTACGCCGGCATGGGCACAAACATGATGCGGGCAGTCCCGGCTGCCACAGTGACCATGTTGACGTATGAGTTTGTTATGCGCGAGCTCAACGGAGCCCGCAAGCATGGCAAGGAGAAAACGAGGTTGCACGGCGACCCAAGCTTTGACTGAGCCCATCAAACTTGGTCTACGATCGCCACAAACGCCGAGTCACAGCGGCACGAGCCTCGAAAGCTCTTCCACACCGGTCTTCTGCCAGCGAGATGAGCCCGTGAGCGCCTCTCATCTGAGGTTTTGGGCAGCAGCGAAAACAGCAGCCTGCATTTATACGACGTCAACGGGACCCAGCCGTGTTCCTGCCCGGATGAGTTTACCCGGGTCTTCTATGTCGAAACATCATGTATGAAATGTGGCGCCTGAATTCTATTGAAATGAGCAAAGTCTCTTTCGAAATTACGGCTGACCAAGTCATTACGGCAGCAGGAGATGGACCTGCCTGCCTGAGTGGATTGCCCTCGTGGCTCGTTGACACGTACAGAGATCGAAGCTCCAACCCAACAGGGAATCGAGAGGGCAGAGGAGGCTCCACTGCTGGGAAGAGAAGGAAGCATTCTCGATCACACACCGTATCATTGCTTTATGCAACCGGCAGAGCAAAGCTCTGGGGGGGGGGGGATCGAAGAGGGCCCATGAAGGAGGAGATTATGACAGACTTGAGGAACGTACCCTCAACAGGGTACTGCTGAGAGGATACCGAGAGGCTGAATGGATTAGTTGGCCCGTCAAGAACTGGAAATGACTTTTGGTGCAATGTGTGTCAAAAACGATACCCCTACCACTTCTTGGACCTTGCTTGTCTGGCCTTCTTGCCTGCAGAGTTCTTGTATGACATAGAGATCATTCTTTTTGGTCATTTATAGCATCCTCCCATTACGCAGACTAGGGCAGGCCGCGCTCGGCGTTGGTGGTACCTTCGCACTCTAAGAGAATAAATCAAGATTTGGACCACTAGTACATTCTGCCTCTGCCTGTCTCCCTGTTGGGATATGGTTGCGTGTTGTCACGGACTTCGAGCTTTTCTGCAAGGGGTCTGCAGAGCTACAAGTCCTAGTATGCAAATTATTCTCATTCCAGCTGCTACAGAAAGAAGAGCTTGGTCTGAAAGGGGACAAGGCAGTGATGAACTAACATAACAACATCAAGTCTCGTTTTAGTCTCATGTACATCAGGAGGAGTGGTGAGGTGAAGATTAAACTCATGTCCATACCTAGGTATCCGGTTTGAGGGTACTTGATTCGCATGCCTCTCCGATTCTGTCAGACCAGCTCCTATGCTATGGGCCGGACGAAATCCTCAGGATCACCTGGAAGCGGTTCACAGGTTCAAGCCGGAGTTTGAAGGATGAGATTGGTTATGTTATTGGGACAGGGGGTTTGGCCGAGAGAGTTCCGCTTGTTCGCCTACATTATCGTCCCCCAACGGGCTTGAAAAGCACTCATGGCATAGGACGAGCTTCTCTTGTCTGTCTGGACAGCTTCAACAGCCGTGCAAACTGATCTCGCCAAAACTGTTTCTCCGAGCAATGAAAGATCAAATAATGTGCGGGGCATATTTATAGGTTCATGAAAATTTGGAGGAATAGTCATTGTGTACCTTTCTCTTGGCTCTTGTCTATTAGTGCCCTTACGTTGGGGGCCCATGATTTGTTATACCCAACTACGCTTTCAGATAAGATACGGTGTACATGTGAAAGGTGCTCGACTTTGTGACAAAGCCCAGTATTACGGATCAACAGGGTAGTATTCCCTGTAAGCTTTCTCAGATTGCACACTGACTCCTTGGAGCGGCTTGGAATATGTCTTGAGGGATGTGTCATTTTCATGAGTTGCCACAAGGGGGATTGCACCATTGCACCATTGCAACTTTGCAACTTTGCCGGGAGCTTTTCCTTCGATATTCGCAGTCGACTAGCTTATCCCGTTTGTTTACTGCCAGAATCAGGCGGCAGAGCAACAAACAAGAGCCCAGAAGATATCTCGTTGTGCCATGCAGCGATTTGTGTTTTATACATGCACTTCTAATATGTACATGAGAAGAATATCGTTCGTACATCACTCATCCCAAATAGTGGACACAACGGGGCCAGAGACCACGGCCTCTCCGACCTTACCGCCTTCCTCCTCCGTGACGATCCGCCCGGTCTCGAGGTCTCGTTTCCAGATGACGACTGTGTTGTTGTTCTGGTGGCCGACAGCCAGCAGATCTCCGGCCTCGTTCAGTGAGAACTGACGAGGCAGCCAGCCACCTGAGGGAGCACTCTGAAGGAATGTTAGCGTTCCGTCCTCGTTGATCGTCCAGGTCGTCAGCGTGTCAGATGGACCCGACTGGTAGAGTGCGGAGGTCGAAAAAGACCGCTCGCGGGTGGACACGATGAGGAACTTTTGGTCCGGCTATTCGATCACGATGTCAGTTTCTAATGCGCTTCTTCACATTGAGGCGTTGCACTGAAACATACTGTTATAGCGCACTCGCTGACCGGCGCGGTATTAACGGCTAGGCTGCTGTTCAGGCCAAGCGCAGGGGCCTCGAAGACCTTATCGAATGTCAAGCCGGAGTCGCCGTAGGTGACCTTGTAAGAATAAACGTTCTGCGAGAGCTCTCCACCGAATAAGAAGTAGGTCTCCCCGGCGTCGTTGACTCGGAAGAAGCCGTGACGAGGACCAACACCGGCGTCGGTGGTCAGTGGCGCAGTCTCCACAAGAGGAGCGATCGTGTCAGCAGTATAGGTGAAGACCCGGACCAGGTCTCCGCCAAGGTCTGGGACGAGGACATATGTGTTCGTCGGGTCGATGATGACCTCGTGTGAGTAGCTGCGATCCTGGCGAGAGGCGATCGGGCCGGTCTTGTTGATCTTTGGGAAGATCGTCTGAACGGGACCAGTTCCAGGCAGAGCACCATCTTCACCAAGCTCGAAAACGCCGACCGCGCTCGTGTCGCTGCATCTTGTCAGGCCCGGCTCAAAGGACTGCTTCTGTACAGCGCCTCTCTGCGATGGACTTACTAGGAAGAAGTGATGTACGCGCGCCTGCCACTCTTCGCGGTCAAGATCTCGGCCCAGACACCGCTGGCCGGCCCCTCGATCCGTGCGATTCGAGACAGGGTCCCATCCGCCGAGGTAGAGAAAGAGTTCAGGCTTCCGACGGATCCTCCACGGTCGTAGCAGTACAGAATGCTGTTCTCCTTGTCGAGGGTCAGGACCGAGGGGTTGACCTCGCATTCCTGGGAGACCGATGTTACGGCCAGCTCGTAACTGCTTCCCGACCCGGTCAAGGACAGGCTTGTAACGTTCCCGTCGGACTGGGCCGCGTACAAGTTGACCGCCGAGGCGGACCCCACCAGGGTCGAGGAGAGAATAGTCTTATACAAGGACGCCATCATCGATTGTTTCTTTGGGAGCTACGAGCGAAGGACTGAGGACGAAAGCCGGCGGGCTCGCCATCACGGATATAATTAAGCATGCATTGCACGCATTTTAATCCAGGAACTGTACATGCAGTGGGCCTGCCAGACGCGCTCTACTAGTCAGCTTGGCGAGTCTCCTTATTTCGCCTCTATGCCAAGCTGGAGCAAAGCACCGAAGGCGATGCACTCCTTGCCGTTCCAGGTTCCTTCCCCGCAATCGGCAGAGATCCGGAACTACTCCAAGTGCCCATTGGAGGATTAATCAGAGGCGAGGTCCTGCGAAGGCTCGCAGTCCAGATCAGGATCAAGCCCTTGTATAAAGGTCCATCGTAGCTAGATCAACTTACAGAAGGAGTCGGTAAACAGCTTTTCACCAACCTAGCGTGAAAACCTCGGGCATACGCCATTTTTGGGACTTATTCAACGGGTGCCGTGCGATCCGAGTCGCCGAACATCCATGTCAGTGAAATGAACTCGGGAGCTCAGCCCCTGGCCATTTCCACCCAAATTCGCAGACTGAGCAGAATATACTCGTTCTGCAGCTTTCCAGGGGCAATAAACTTTCTTGCTGTACTTAGATTGAGAGGCCAAGGAATCTGGTTTCGAATGTATCGCAAAATAATCTAAGCGGCTCTTGCCCTTAACGTCCCCGGCCCAGATTCCGACATACCCCTGATCCCGACCACCCCGCACACATATTTCAATCCTTTATTCTAAGCTTAAAAAAAGGTTAATAACCCCAACCCTAGGCTCATTATATAGCATTTTAAAAGGAGATTTATATAAAAATGTTTCTAAAATTATAATTCAATTATAATATTTTTAAAATAATTTTAAAGACTAAAATATAATATTTATTTTAATAACTTATAATAAATTTAACTTAAATTTATTAATATTAATTTTAAGCTTATTATATAATCTTTTAAAAAAGGTTTAATATAAAAATATTTTTAAAATTATAATATAGCCTTAATAATTTTAAAATAATTTTTAAATATTAAATTTTAAAAATATTAAGAATTTTATATATAATGTTAATATTTCTTAATAATTATTATTCTTTAAATTTTCTTATATTCTTTTATTAAAATAAGTTTAATAAAACATTTTTATATATAATAAATATAATATAATATAAATTCTTATTAAGAAAAATAAATATTTTTATATTTGTTTTACATAAATTTAAAGAAAAAGTTAAAAATCTTAAAATAAATAAGGCCGCGTGGCGCACTGGTTATGCATCTGGCTTCTCTCCACGGAGGGCGTAGGTTCAAACCCTGCCGCGGTTATCAAGACCTTTTTTGGGAATTTTCCCCTTAATTAAGCTGTAAATAGCGGCCTGCTGTTATGGGCTAGCCTTGGGTCGTCTGCCGTAAGGTGTCTGAATGGGGTTTATATTCAGAGTGCAGAGGAGAAGGTTCGCTCCCCGTCTATATTCACGCCAAAGCCTATTCTTATAGGGCCAAAGCCTATTAATTAATTATAATGGGTAAAGCCTAAATCATAATATATCCTCTTTTTCTAAGTCCTTATAGCAAGCCTTAAAAAGTAGCTATATAATAAAAAATAAAAGATATTATAATTTAATTATAAATTAAATATTATTCTTTATTTAGTTATTTAATTATACCTTAATGCTTTTTAATTATATTAAAGGCTTAGCTTATTATTTATAATTAATATATTTTAATCTTTATAATTTAATATATTAATTAAAATAAGCTAATAAAAGATAATTATTTAAGTATAAGTTAATAATTAAATTAATAATATTTTTATAATTTTTTAATATAAGCCTTTTATATAAGCTTTTTTATTTAAAATCTTAAAATTATAAATTTATTATATAATTTATAATTTATAATGGGCTTAGGCTATTGCTTAAGCCGTAATGCATGCCTGTGCCGGGCCTACACTATACCCAACCTTCTTATGTAATGGGGTATATATTTAAAAGATAGATTTAGGGTTGGGCCTTTTTAGGGCCTAACTTACTTCTTAAATATTGCAATTTATAACTCTTTTTAAGTACCTTTTAATAAATGCTTAAGGCCAACTTATAATATTAAATTGCAATCTTTAAATTATATTAGGGAGGATATTTATATTATAAAGGTAAACAACCTTATACCTAAGATATTAATCTTTTTATAAAACGCATAGCTAGGGATCTTTTAACTTACTTTAATATTAAGCTATAAAAATGCTTAGGAAGCGCCTTAGCTTTCTTAGCTATTTATAATAATACCTATTAATGCTAATGGCAATGCTACTATATCTTTCCTTACAGCAGTACTTTACTAACTTACAAAGCTTAAAGCATGCGCAAACCCTTCCAACCTACCCTTAATTTAATATAAGCCGCTCTTAATTAACCCTTTATTTAATAATAGCCAGGATAGCTTTCCAACCTAAAAGATTATAATGCAGCATAAGTTATAAATTAATATAAACTTTATTAAAGGTTCTTAAGAATATTAAATTTTCTTATAAAGCTAGCTATTTACTAAGATATAATTATGCATTATGGCATTTTATAAGCAAGGCGGGCTTTAAAATAGCTTTAATATAAATAAATTCTTTAAATACTTAAAGCATTATTATGGAAACTTATATTAATAGGCAGCTATTTTAGCTAAGCTTAAGATATTTTAAATATAAGATTGCAATGGCTTTGCTTAATTTTATATTTAATTTAAATAGCTAATGGTGTAAATTAAGGGCCTTAAGTGGTTAAGCAAAGTAAAGCTAAATTACTTTTATAGTTAGCTTTTTCCATAGCTTTGCAATAAGGTTATTAAGGCATTAATCTTGCATATAGATTATAATAAGGCGGTAAATGCATATCATTAAATTGCTTATAAGCTAGAGGCATGGGACCTTAAGCGCTAATAGTATGCAGGCTTAACTTTACGCTCCTTAAAGCCCCTGGCTTAAGGGCAATAGGCAATAAGTTAAAATATGGTAATAATAGACGTGGTTATAACGGGCATAATAAGGGGCTAAGGCGTTAGGAATAAGGGGCTGCAGGAGCACTAAGGCATTTCTTTTTTTTAATTAGCTAGCGGCTAAGCTAGGGCGCTTTAGATTTTTAGGTTTAAAAGGGAGGCTTAGCAGGGGCGCAAGGCGTGCCTATATTGCAGCTAATAGGAATACTTTATAGCAAACTATAAACTCCTTTTTATAGCTATGTTAACTTAGGTTTAGGTTATAAAGTTGGCTATACTTTATAAGAAGAATCTTATTAGCCTTAAGGGAAAAGATTAGCTTTTAAGTAAAGTCTTGCTTAAAAGCATAAGCCTCTTTTATAGGCTTAATTTATATAAAAACAATATTAATAAATATAAAATAAATTAAATAAGCTTCCTTTCTTAATTCTTATTATTATAAATTATAAGCATATCGTTATTACTTAAGTAAATAATAGGTATAGCTGCTATATTGCTATAAATAAGTAATAAGTATAAAAGGTAAAATTAAAGTTAATAGCTTTATTTACTTTAAGAAACCTAGGGATAGTTATTAACTTATTGTAAAGTTAATATATTATATATATAATATAGCTTTCCTTAAATATTAATGTATAATAAGCCCCTGTTTTAGCTTATATAGTTTTAAGCATAGCTTATTCCCTTTTGTTAAGCTTGCTTTAATTATGCCATTATAATATCTTGCTAAACTTAGCTTATGGCTATATAGTAGTTAATGCAGCCCAAGGGATAGTTATAAAAAAGGAAGGCTAGCGAAATGTAAGTAATTTAGCGCAGTTAATCTCTAAGGTAGCTGTAAGGGCGTAAATAAACTGCTTATCCTATAATAAAACGATAAATATTATCTTAATGGGAATAAGCTTAAATAAGGTTATATAAATCCTTTAAGCTATAGCTTTTTAAAAAAAAAATAATAATAATATAAAGTGATATAAAGTTAAGTCTTTGCTAAAGAAAGTATAGAATTTTATTAGCTTTTTTAATAAGGATTAAGTTTTTACCCTTTTATTATATTAAGATTAATTTAATTACTATATTTATTTATTATTAATAAAGGATAAATCCATGCTAGCATTATTATAAGGCTTATTATATAATATGCCCTAGGATTAGCTATTTAAATTATGGAAGCAAGTTATAAAACTTTGCAATAAGGGCTAAATAAGAGCTAGCTCCTTGCTTATAGCGGCCTTAGTTCTTTTAGTGCATAAGGCAAATAAAGGGTAGCGGTTTTATATAAATTATCATGCCCTTAATAAAATAATTTAGTAAGATTATTACCCCCTCCCCCTTATTAAAGAGATATTATGCTTTCTTTTTAATACTTAATAATTTATAAAGCTAAATATTTATGCAGCCTTTTATTAAATATAAATGGCAAAGAAATAGAAGTATTTAATGGCATTTTAAACTTAATTTAGGTTATTTAAATAGTTAATTTATTCCTTTAATTTATTTAATATGCTTGCTATATTTTAATAATATATTAACTTAATCTTAGCTAATATCTTAAAAAATTATATAATAATATATTTAAATAATGTATTAATATTTCCTTAAGCTTAAGGAGGGATTATATAAGGAAAGTATAAAAGGTTTTGCATTACTTATAAAATGCTAAGCTAAACTTAAATTAAGATAAGTATAAGTTTATAATAAAGGAGGTAAAGTACTTAGGCTTTATTATTATGGCTAAAGTAGGTATTTAAGTAAACTTAGAAAAGGTTAAGATAATTTAAGAGTAAAAGGCATTATAAACGGTTTATAGCATTTAAAGCTTTATAGGGTTTGTAAACTTTTACCATAACTTTATTAAGAACTTTTTTAAAATTATTAATTCCCTTTTTTATTTTATTATTAAGGGGACTTCTTTTTAATAAGGGAGTAAGGAAAATATAGCCTTTTGCTATCTTAAGGTAATATTTATAAAGGCATTAATTTTAGCTAAATGGAATTTAAACTTAAGCATAGTAATAAAGGTAAATTATTTAAAGATAGCTCTTAGCATATGCTTATTAATTTAAAAAGGGGGGGCCCTTTACTTAATTACTTACTACTTTATAAAGCATTTTCTAATATAATAAAATTATACTATTTATAATAAGGAGCTATTAGTAATAATTAAGGCCTTAAAGGCATAATTACTTATGCTTTAAAGCGTATTTCGCCTATTTATAATACTTATAAATTATAAGGGCCTTAAGTATTTTATTAGCCCTTAGCTCCTTTTAAAAAGGTAAGCTTAATAAGCTAAAACTTTATTCCTTTTCCGCTATAATTTTTAATACTGCTTAGGAATATAAGCATAGCATCTTAATGCATTATTATGGCGGGAATAGGATAAAATGATCTTAAAGGAGGATTATATAATTAAGATGCTTTAATTAATTTTAATAGCAATTTTTAATGCTTATGCCATTATGCTTATAAGGCCGCAGCTATTTAATAAATCGGCATTAATTATGCTTTAAGATAAGGAAGTTTAATAAAACCTGCAATATAAGATTTATTATAAGGCAATTATATTTAGTTAATAATGATTCCCTAAAAAGGCTAAAACGGTAGTTTAAATTGCTAATTATACCCTTAATGCATATAGTGCGTTTTAATTTTAAAGCTGGTTATAATTCTTAAGTTAGGAATTGCTTATTATATTAATATTATAGCGAGCTTATAATTCTCTTATAATAAGGCATTTAAGATGAAAAGGAATTTTTTAAATTCTTTTATATAACTTTTATTAAAATAATATATTATAGGTGGTTTAGCGTTTTATTTAAAATTGCGATATATATTATTAAACTTAACCTAATTAATAGCTATGGCAAAGCTTATTTTACTTTATCCCTCCTTTAAATCGCTATTAATTTTAAATATTTATTAACTTTATAATAAATTTATTGGCTTATAAGAGCGGCTTGCATTACTTAATGATTATTATAAATTGCTTTTTAAAATAAATTTTCTTAAAAGTAATGCACTTTATAATTGCAAAGGATTATGCATAACGCTTTATTACTTTATAATAACGCTATTATAAGTTCCCTATATTTATTATTAATAACTAAGGCTTTAATTAAATAAGGGCGTTTTAAGCTTTTTTATGCGCTTAGGTAGGTATGAAATGCCTTTTATTTATAATATATTATCTTAAGATAAATGGTAGTATAAAGTAAATAAATTAAAAAGTATAAAAGTATTTGCATAATATTATTATCTTTTTATAGGATGATTAAGCTAACTACTTTTTAACTTATTAAATGGCGCTAAATAATAAAGATTTAATAGTGATTGATTAA